CCAAGAATATTTCTTTTTGGTTTGTCTATTTTGCTCGCGCTGTTAAGTTTACATGGGAGCCGCCGATACCTTAACTATTAGTATTACCGTACCATCAAGCACAGGATTGGACGAGAATGTGAATAGGAGGGGCAGCGAGGAAAGATGAATGGAAATGGGGTTAGGTTTGGAAATACATTGACCGAATCTCCACTATTGCCATGGCGGGAGTGTTGAAAATCCATATTTGGCACCTTTAAGATGACAACAATCTTCTCACTTCCGACCACAAAACAAAACAAAACCATGAGAAGGAAAAAGGTGAAGATGGAATGATCTTAAAGTGCATTAGGTAATATGTTTGTTACGCGCCTTTCCTTTTCGGCCGTTGTGGGCTTTTCTTCTCACGCTAAACGATCATATTAATTATTAACAATATTAAAAAATATTCTTTTTTTTTTTACAGAAGTCAATTTATTTAGCAGAAGCCATAAAACAATACATATAAAATCATCAATTAATCCTGATTCAAGATTAAATCGGAGGCAAAATATCTGAAAGGAGAAACACATCACAGTAAATTAACATAAATACTAACCCAACAACATTTGCAACAATTAAAACATGAAGTTTCAGCAGGTTTAAATAGTTCTTTCCAAATTTTGTTTATTTTCACCTTTTGCTCTGTGCTGAGGAAACCGAGGAGAGAGGAAAAATTTCACAGTATTGATTTTTTGCAATAACCACTCGAATGGTAATAAGTCGTTTGAGGGGAGTTTTTGATGTTTTGTTGAGTTGGTTTATTCGACCCGTTTAAGGGAAGTTTCTTCTTCTTCTATGTATCTCCAAATTTGTCCAGCTGTATTTATCGAAAATATTTATCCAATATTATGCATTCCATTGTGTAATTTTTCAAATCGATCCAATCACACAAATCGTCGCCCAAACTAAGCCCAACTATACAAAAGTGTTCAGCTGAGTCCAAAAATGTAAAGCTCTTCACTTTTTTTGTTTGACCCAAAATAGCTAAAACGGCGTTGCGAAAAGAGCGAAGCAGAAACGGACACAGGACAGACAACAGTAGCACATGCTTCCGTGTACGCGTCGTGTCGTTTTTGGGGTCATCACTTACGTGGCAACTCCTCTGTCGAATCATCAGAAACCAACGATAGGTCCCCACATCATCACCTAATCTGCAAACGAAGCACGTTGAGCTCACGTGATTCAAATAATAAGAGCAAGCGTGTGGGCTGATAAACGTGTGGAGACCAAGGCCACTTCTCACTCGGAAACAAAGGAAAGATAAAATCGTGTTATGTATTGACTCGTTCCTTCCCGAGTCCTTAGACCATATATATGAGAATTGAAAATGCCTTAGCATTTATCCGTCACATTCCCTTCGCTTCGTATTTCTGTACCCTCATGGCTTCATTATTTCATTTCTCCAACAGACAAACTACCTATTTGTTTTGATTCAGCCCACGACGGACGGAGAGATCAACCACCGACGGCGACACCATCGAGATGAAGTACTGGAAGCCGAGGTTGTCGAAGCAGAGCGACAAGTACGAGGTGAGGCTTAACCGCCTGAGGCTTGAATTGGGGTTGTTCGGCGCCAGGGTGCGTGGCAATGAGGCCATGGCCATTGAAATTGCTGCCAAACCTGATTCTTCTAGCTCAACCTCACGTTTTGCTCTTCCCTTTTTTCCCAAGTCTAAACGACGGTGCGTTTTCACCACCCGCCGCAGACCCATCAGAAAATCACCGGCGCTCTCGTGGGAGGGTCGCGACCTCCAAGATTTTCATGTCGTCCTCCAAGGTGACTCCGCTGTCTGCGACATGGCGTTTCATGTCTTATATGTAAGCTTTCGTGTCTTGTTTTTAATTATTTATTGATCAACTGTTATTGTTCTGTTTCTTTTTAACTTTTCGCTCACTGTAATTTGATTAAAATGCAGGAAGAGAGCAATGAAGGAAAAGCCGGAGCTAAAATGGCGGTGGTCGGAAAAGTTTCGATGGACTTGACGATGGCGGAATTGCTCGATGAGGAACAGAGGAAGACGAAGTCGAATTGTCAGCTTAGAAGAAAGCTTCCGATCGAATTGAGAATCAATGGTTTGGCCATAGAAGCCACCCTTTCGGTATGTTCCAAGTTCATTTCCCCCTTTTCCCCCCTTAATTTATTACGATTATGACCTCTCTCTCTCTTTTTTGGGTCAAATAAGTTTTGGTTATATGCAATTCGCCATTGATTATAACGTCAATCACTCTTTTCGTCTCCGCGGATGAGTCTCGAATGGGTGGTCGGTTTACCACTTTTTTTCCCGGTGGTTCAAAGTTCACACTTATAATTTTAATGGTTAACATTTTTCTAAAAAATTTTGTAATTTTAATTATTGATTTTCAAATTCATAATTATACGATTGACTTTGTGAATTAACGTTGTGGACTACAGTTCGCGGTCATACGTTAATCACGTTACGATCGTACAGTTGACTGAGTTTATGGAAGAATTTCTTTATGGGGTTTCCTTTTCTTCTTGTTTGAATTGTTTGCCTTTGTCCTTATTTTATTACGTGAATAGGACTTCAATTTGAAAGCTGCAAAATTTCCGCACAAATTTGACCGTACATTTACATCTACTAACTTTCTTGATGAAACTTTGAACAGGTTTCTGGGAGATTTCTGAAGCTCAATAGTTCTCACGGCTTGCATAAAACCCCCGAAAATTCGGTCTCCTTCAAGGATAAACAAAACGAGAGGAAGATTGATGAACTGAGTCCATATGATTCAGAAGACTATCGGTGGTTCGACTCAGATGACTCGTCCAAATCATCCACCAGTACAAGTACCACAAGCAGTGGGAGTAGCCTTGGCTTTTACGCCCCAGCAAGGTCAAACCCAAAGAACAAGTTAGAAACAGATTATTGTTTGGACAGAGTCCAAAGGAATTTGTCAAACTTGTCCTGGAATAATAACCTCAAGGGATTCAATTCTGGAGCCACGACCACAAGGCACCGAGAGACTTTGACTACGGTATGGACATAAGCATATAAGTGTAATGACATCACCTTCTTTACTTTGAACTTTACTAGTATTTTTTTCAGAGGCTTACGGTCGTTTTCGTTTCGTCTTGTTGCAGAAACCAGGCGAAGAATGGCAAAAGAAAGAACTGATGAGCAGAGATGGGAAAGCAAAGCTCAACACTAGCGTGTTCTTTGCTTCGTTTGATCAACGAAGCGAACAAGCCTCCGGCGAGAGTGCTTGTGCAGCACTTGTAACTCTGGTAGCCCACTGGCTTCATTCGAACAAAGACATGCCAACAAGACCTGAATTTGATAGGCTCATCACGGAAGGTTCCTCTGAATGGAGAAGGCTTTGTGAAAAGGATAATGCCTGCTCGAAGCTCTTCCCAGACAACCACTTTGATCTTGAGACTGTCATAGAAGCCAAGCTGAGGCCTCTGTCTGTTGTTCCTGGGAAATCATATACAGGATTTTTCTCCCCTAACAAGTTTCGATCCTTGAGGGGAGCTATGTCATTTGATGAAATTTGGTATGAGATAAGCAGAGATGTGGTTGATTACGAGCCAAGGATCTATATTGTAAGTTGGAACGATCATTTCTTCGTGTTGAAGCTAGAAGCAGATGCTTATTACCTTATAGACTCCTTGGGAGAAAGGCTTTTTGAAGGGTGCAAAGAGGCATTCATATTGAAGTTCGATGATTCAAGCTTGATGTATGAAGAAGTAGATAAAGCAGTGAGGAGTAATAACAGCAGTTGCAGCAGCAGCAGCAGAAGCAGTCTCGTGAGTGAGAAGGAAAAGCTCAAGTTAGTTTGCAGTGGAAAAGATTGCTGCAAGGAGTTCATCAAACGCTTTCTTGCAGCCTTACCACTGAAGTATTTAGAGGAAGAGGAAAAGAAAGGGTCGATTTCTAGCCCCTATCTTCACCGGCTCCTGCAGATTGAGTTCCATTATAGTTCTGCATTGTCCACGTCTTCTACAATGACCTCTCTCTTTTCAAGTGGGGCTTTAGAAGCTGAACTGTGCCGGTAGGCCTTGGTTTTTTCAGTCCTACCAAATGCAAAACGTCAAGCCTTTTGCCCTGGTGGCTAACTGCTCGTGTCCTATGCCTCTTGAAGCATGGAAATGAATGGAGCTACAAGGTTGTTGTTGGAATATTTGTCTCCTAATTCCTAAAGCATAAGATTCCCCACTTTGTGTAGTAAGATTGCCCATTTGAAAACACATATCAGGAGACTCAGGCATGTCTCCATCTTTTTCTTGTAACATGTGCGCCTTTGGAGCCATTTGATTTTGCCAATTTGAAGAAGCAATTTATGCCCGAAAATATTTTGTATATATTTGAATTTTCCACCTCATCTAATTCATTTGTAAAGCATATATATTAGGGAGGGCAAGGCCAACTAGCACACTTGTCAAGCTTTAAGCAAAGTAGCAGACATAAGTACTCTATCAAGTCATTCACTAATCATTTCATTTTCCATCCGAATGGAATAACGCCTCATACAGCAACAGGTGGTCCATTCCTTCCTCGTGCCCATACGGCATATTTACTTTTAGAGTAGAGATGATGCTTAGATATGGCAAAGTGAGATGCCCTTGTCCGCCATTTTCATAACCAAAGGCCAAATTAAGTTCTCTTCAATCACTTCACTAACCACGAACCCCATTGGGCCCGCACATCCCACTCCTAATTGCTTCCAGATTATTTCCTTAAACAGCATAATTTAAGGTAGGGCAGCTCCAGTATTGAGATTCTTTCCCCGATTTCCCACTTGGATACCATAACTTCTGTCTGCCTGATGCATAAAGCTGATTAACCCAGCACCCAAACATCCAAATATACATATCACCTTATTGTCTTGATGTTAAAACTGTTGTATGAATTATAGTATTCTCCAAAAGTCGAAAATTTTACACAGCAAATTTGCAAGAGGCATCCTATATGTACGTCAAGAAGATAGAACAGGACATTATAGTAAGCAAGCTACATAAGTTGCGACATAACAAATTTAACTTCATTGCAGAAACACCCCGAAATCCCCCCAAAAATTTACATTAACTTAGGAGTGTTCTGAAACATAGCCGTGACAATCCTCAAAGTTACATAATTGGACTGCCATTTCAAGAGGCATAGTAACGCAAACGCTAATCTAGAGAGAAACCTCAACTTTTCTCACACCTGATTTCTAAGGCTTCAAACAAATGAAATTTGCCTTGCGTTTCTGAACTGTTGGTCTGTCCCACACAAAGGAAGAGAATTTTTTATCGTTTGGGCAAGTTCACCGCTGAGCTTATTCCTTTCTTCAACACTCGAGAGAGGACCTAACCGGAGAGACAGATCACATCCCCCCATTGTGGGTTGGTTCTGATCAGGATCACCCCTTTTGAGCGACTGAGGTTTCTGATTCGAAGCTGTGACGTTGGAGGCCAAGTGATTTCCCACACCACCTACAATAGCTGGTCCGGAAGTGTTAGAAACGGATTTATGCAAGATTGTAGAACCATGATGGGATTCATCAACTGGGAGATGATTCCCATAATACAAGGGGTAAACTGAAAACAAGTTTGACAATGGTTGATATTCCAAGCACTGCTTTTTACTAGTTGAAGGGAAATGGTCAGATACAAAGGCCGATGTGTTAGAGGAAGGAATGGGACCATTATTCCGGAAAGCCAACCTTGGATATTCAGAACCCAGACGCGTAGATTTCACAAAATTTGAGCAAGGAGATACAAAATGTGGTTTTGCTATATGAACTCCTCTTGCAGGCTTCTGTACTGGCTCTTGAACCGTGGGACTTAGATAACACCTTGGGCTATTGCGTTGACTCCTTGAAGCTTTTACAGGAGTGCACCCCAGACACAGAGCAGCTGAATCATACCAAACGTTGAAGGAACATTACCCAACGAAAAATAAACCATTTTCATCTCTCTTCTTTACAGAGGAAGAGGCTAAACTGGCACAGAACTAAACACTTGAAGAAAAATACAAATACAGTTCTCATTTGAGTAATTTGAAGCCAGAAGCGACACTTTACCTTCAATGCAAGGCAGGAGATGCTCTCCAGTTTCGGTGCTTTCATCGCGTCGAATTACTGTATCAATGGCGTCATTTGCTCTCACCAAGAGTGTTGTAAGGTCCATATATTCCGCCTACGCAAGGATAGTTATGCAGGAGGTTAAGGAGAAGACTTCTGTACGAAGAATTTACAACGAGTTTGCTTGCTTTTTCAGTATCATACAATACTGCCTTTCCCGTCTGTCGAAAATGAAAATTTTACAGTGAAATTTCTCCTATTTTTCCTCCCCACAGAAATTACCTCAGAATTGGCTTTGGAGTACATAATTTCTTCCGCCCTGAGCACCACAATAGGGAGCTTCTCCTGGTACTCTTTATTCTTCTTCGTAGCAGGGCCATGTATATCATTGACAACCCTAAAGCATTTAGAAAACCAAAGATTAGAATGTATTGGAAGAGACATATACACATAGAACACAAGGGGAGAAGGGGGGAAGAACCTGAAAAATTCTTGAATGAGGGTTCCTCTGATGGGTTGGTGCGTGTCACTATGCCAAGCTCTTCTAACACAGTCATATGGCCTGGGGCCTGGGCGTGGCATCTTCAGAAGCAGAGTGCTCTGTTTCTTCAAGAGAAACAAGACCCCAAGCTGCGTGTGGGCTTGAAGGCAAGTCTTTCCCTTTTTATTTTCAACTTTTACCCTTTTCCTCAGCGGTGAGACTCCCAAAGACTCAACAGGACACGCTCTGAGCAAAATGCAGTACCACCACCACAAGGCAGTGAGCAGTAGTGAGGAGAAAGGAAAGGAAAGGAAAGCGGGGGGAGAGAGAGAGAGAGAGAGAAGAAGAGGAGGCTGTTGCTGTTGTGTTGTGTCTGCTTTATTCATTTATTATATGGTTTTGCTTTATATCATGTCAAAGTCCTCAATTATTATTATTTGTGCAAGGGAAGCGTAGAAGGGGTTTGATTGAATTGAAGTGTTTGGTTTTGGTGTGTCCCCCACTCATCCTCATGCCTGCCTCCCCTAGCCCCAAGAGTCTCTTTCGCTTTTTGTAGTTTCTGCCTTTTGGCTTCTCCCATTTCTCCTAACCATTCATTTGATAAACATTTGGTCTGTGTGTCACTGTCGGTGACCTCAGAACCAACCCCAACCTCTTACTCATACTGTGACAGCTAGGGTCCCTCATGTTTACTCGGCCGCTTCGATCCTGCTTGTTACTAAATTACCCTGTTTGGTGTTTGACGAGTCACTGCTAAATTGGCATTTAGCGGTATTAAACCCTAACAGCTCTTTTTACTTTCAGTTTTCTGCATCCTCCCCCACATGGAACTCGCATGAGGGGTCAGGACAGGTTTTTGTCCGAGTTCGAGGATCGGTCCAGAATTTAGATGCCTATTTAATGTTAGGCTCCCATTCCATGAATCTAGTGTCATAATAATTATAACAGTGCTCAGACAACCTCACACCCGTCGCATCCATAGCAACAAGAACTTCATATGAGAATCGCAGGCTGGTTATCTTTACAGTGCCGGAATAGAGTCGTGAAGAGGAACGGATCTGTCGAGAGATATCCCCCACAAAGTTTTGAGCTTTCTTCGGCCATAGTGCAAAATTCTGCAGACCCATTTCTTTGAGCCCTTGATGCGTCTCTGTGACTCTATACAGAATTTATGAGCATGTGTCTGAATTTTCTTCGAGCTTTTAGAATTTAAATCTCTCTGCATAGACAGATGCATGCTAATTACAATTGGTGATTAAAATAATAATTTTTTGCCAACGATTAAAGTCATAAATGAATCTTACTTTAAAGGGAGTATGGAATACCAAGTCTAAGCATGAGCTGCGATTTTTTGATTCCTAAATTGGGTTCGGTACGCCTGTCCCTGACCAGCGATTCAATGGTTCAGTAAGCTTCCCTGTCGATAATGGTCAGAACAATAATGGAGTGTTGAAACAGGGGAGCAGGATCAAGAAATCAAACGACCACAAAAACAACGCCGGTTCCGTGTTTAGCCCCAAATGCAGGGGACGATGTCGATTTTTGTTGGGGTTTCTGACGCAGGATTCGCTAGTAAGTAAAGATACTGTTGCTTTTCCTTTGACTGGATTATTGTTTTGATATGTAATATATGTAACTAGTTATGAACTTTGGAAAAATATTTTTGTTGCAAATTCAAGGGGGAGCGCGCGGGGACTATTTTTATTATATCGATTAAATTAAATGTATGGGAACAAAAAGATTCGAAGAATATATTTTCACATGGCAACAAAACAATTCACAAATTACCAATGGTACGGTTTATTTCTTAGATTTTACACGAAATATTAAAAGACCGTCTAATTTTATGATAAGCTGATTTTATTTTTCCATGAAGTAATGAGATTCTTTTTAATGTAACCGATTTACTTTCGTTTAATAAAATTCTCTCTTAATTGAAAAAAGAAAATTTTATTATATTTTTATTATTTATAACAGTTCAATAAAATAGTCTTAAGAGTCGTGTACATTCATATTTCTCCAATCAATAATATAAAAAATATTTAACTAATTTAAATAGATTAAAGAATTAAATACATTATTCAATTTTAATAAATATGATAAGATTTTATTGAAATATTGTTATATAATATTAAATCATGTATCGTTATATATTAATTTATAAGTTTTGTAAGTTAATTTAGAAAAATAATACATATGAAAAGTAAAATAAATTAAAAATTTGCCTTTAGGATCAAAACCGATTTTTTTTTTAATTGGTTCATATATTTAATATCGTAATGGTATAAATTAAATTGTAAAAAGCAATTGTAAGCCAGAGAGAAGCTCTATGGACTGAGTCAGTCCACAAGAAGGAAGATGGGAAAGGCCGTCCAGGGAAGCGTGGACAGGTCTTTATGCGTGAAGGAACAAATAGCTCTTCAAGGGTCCGCTTCGTTGCATTGATAGTCGAGTTGGTTGGGTCCAATTAAAATACTGTTTTCATTGCTTAATAAAAAATTTAGTTTGCAGTTTAAGTCAGGACAGGTCTTTATTTGTAGACTGACAGACAAGCAGCTTCAAATTATGAGTTTTAATTTCTCAAAAAATAAAATGACCAAAATTTGTTTAGAATGATTTATAAGAAATTTTTTTATAATGATCTACAGAATACGAAGTAAATATGTAAAATCAATTTCGACTCGACTTATATGAATGCGTTTATTGATCGTGAATCCAAACAAGGCTAAATTATAGAGATCAATGTGTTAGACAAAAATAAATTTAAAGGACCAAAACTCATGACCTGAAGCTTGAAAAGCTAAAATTAAAATAAAAATAAACTTGATGAGTGGTAAATTGGATTAACCCTATATTATAATAAGAAGGTAAAAGTAATTTTTTTTCTTCTATAAAATGTCAATTAATAAAAAAAAACAAAAAAAGAGAAAAATGGAGGGATTGACAGCGTAAGGGAAGGTGGGCGGAGATCATGAGAACAGGAGTCAGAGAACCGGCCCCACATGAACGAATGATATTGCGTGGCAACCACGTGTTTCTCTATTTGGACCTGCATGCGCTCCCTGTTCACTTGCCTTCTTCGCCCCACTGACACGACACGACCGTATCAGCCGCTGTATTCCTGTACTTGCCTCCACCCCAACTCAAAGGAGCCCACATTTCACATTAGCTCCTTTCCTTCCTTAGTGACCCTATCCTCGGAATGATTTGAAAGGATATTAAATTTTGCGGCAATGCATCTCCCCGTTTTCAGTTGATATGATTTAAAGGAAAACGAAATCCGCACATTCTACTCTAGTAAGCTGGGGCTATTGGGATTAAGATCCTCGTAAATTAAAAGAGAAGGGATCCCAAGAAAGACGCTCTTTTAAAAGAAACTTAATGATGTTATAGGATATTCATTATGACGGTCTGAATCTAAAATTTGAAAAGGATTTATTGTACAAATGAGTTCAGGATGGGATTAAATCAAATGAACATGTGGTATAAGAGCAAATGCAAAGAACAAAGAAAACGCATGCATGTGACCGAATATCCGGAGGGGCGATAATGATGAGGTGTCGCATGAAACCGCGATGCTTATCTGCGCCGTCAATATACTTCTCTGCTTCAATCCCACCCTTCACCCATACACCCTCTCTGTCTCTGTGAGATATCTCCCCAGCTCAGCCATGCTTTCACCAAACCCTCTCTCTCTCTTCTGCCTCCTGCTCCTTTGCTTTCCCCTCGCCGTTTTCTTCACCGCCACCACTAATTCCAAGCCCGACGCTTCCCAAACCCCCGACTCCCCCATCCTCAACATCCCCATTCCCACCGCCATTGTTGCCCAATCCATATCTTTCTTTGACTCTCACCACCACCGCAAGAGTCTATACCGCTATGTCCTCTCGCCGACGGACGACGACGACGTCTTGTGCCGGGTCGCCGCTCGGGTCAAGGCCAAGCCTAAACCGCCCAGAAAGATTGCCTTCCTCTTTCTCACCACAACGCCTCTCCCGTTCGCGCCTCTTTGGGAGGCTTATTTCAGTAAAGCCCCCAAGAATCTCTTCAATATCTATGTCCATGCCGACCCTCGATTCTCCTATGATCCCCCGTTCTCTGGTGTTTTCTCCGACCGAATCATCCCTTCCAAACACACGGAGAGGTACTCCCCAACGCTCACCGCGGCGGCGCGTCGTCTCCTCGCGCACGCTCTCATCGACGATCCTTCCAACTACATGTTTGCCCTTTTGTCAGCCGCCTGCATACCCCTGCATTCCTTCAACTTCACCTACAATACGCTGATCCCGTCTGCACAGAGCTTCATTGAGATCCTGAAGAACGAGAAATGGACGTATGCCAGGTGGGCGGCGCGTGGCCCCGACGTGATGCTCCCGGAGGTGAAGCTGGAGGATTTCCGGATAGGATCACAATTTTGGGCGCTGACACGTAAGCACGCGAGGCTGGTGGTGAGTGACCAGATACTCTGGTCGAAATTCAAGCTGCCATGCGTGCGCAAGTACTCGTGCTACCCCGAAGAAAATTACTTCCCCACTCTTCTCAGCATGTGGGACCCCAAGGGGTGCGTGCCAGCTACGCTCACGCACGTGGACTGGACTGGCCGCGTGGACGGGCACCCTCGCACGTACAATGCGACGGAGGTGGGGCCCGAGCTCGTCGACAGCATGCGAAAGAGCATCCCTAGGTACGGTGACGAGGAGATCAACGGCTCCGATTGGCAGTTGTGTAGTGGACGGCGAGATCCGTTCTTGTTCGCGAGGAAGTTCGCCCCCGACGCGTTGCAACCGCTGATGAGCATAGCCAACGGCATGATCTTGAAGGATTAGGTTTATGATGCTGCGGATTTGATCGGGCGAATATGTACAAAGGCTGTAATTTCTAAGTTAATTACTTAAAATTCCATCAAAGACGGTGGATTAGGCATATAATTATGTTAGGATTCAGGACGGAGATGGAAGGGACCGTTGAAACGGCAACGTTTTGGCAAGATGAAGAAGAAGGGTTCAGATCTTGCCAAAATCGGGTTTGTTGTTTGCCGTGAAATGTCATGTGGCGCGCGAAAGTTGCGTCTGTTGTCTGCCGTGAAGTGGTGGTCAATGGGATTATGTTGTGCCGTGTCGCATATGCGTGCGGGAGATGCTGAGAGCAACATTTTATGCCAATAAATGCCATTACAGATCCAGGATATAAAAATACGTAGTTTATTTTGGTTGAATTGTTGAGGCGATAGGGATAAAATTACTGATTTTGATTACGGTTTATTTACTTAAATGGCCCAAAAACTTACAATTTGTAATTTTAAATAACCCATGATATTCTTAAAATATTAGATTTGAATAGTTTAAATTTGACTTAAAAAAAGGTGGTGGAGTAAGTAGAGGCATGCGGTGGGGGAAAATGATGCTTGCAAAAGCCGAAGACTACTCACGAGGACCACTGTATCATGATTTTCCCAAAGGCCACGCTTCTTTTGGACTTTATTTCGAATTCAAAGAAAAAGGCCTCATCATTTATCAAAGGATAAGAACGTGGAAGTTGGAATAACAAACGATGTTTTGATCTGCTAAAACTTCTATTTTTAAAATCGAATTTATTTAAATTTTTTCTCCTCTCTCTTCTCAGGTGAGAAAGGGAATGCATTCATTCATCAATCCAAACAAGTTGGGTGAGTAAGCTTTGCATGCGACGTTGATCTCATTCATTAAATTTAAACTTGCTGTGATAAAGAGGGGGAAAAAAAAAGAAAAAGCAAGTTCATAAAGCACACAAGAACTTCTCGGATTTTAAGTCGAAATTGAAAATTAAAAAAAAAGATAAAATTAATGGAGGTTTGAGCAAAACATCGATTCATTAGATCATCAAATTATGTCCGCAAGTCATCATCGGAGCAACATTTGACTCGAGTGAGGTTAGGCGTGATTGAGACTATTATATATCCCACACCCAGCTATTTTAAATCCAACTGATGACTTCACTGTAACTTTTGTCAATGTATTGTATTGTATTGTGCTCTCACTTTGAGAAGGGGAAAAAAAGACGACAGCGATAACGACAAGGAGTAAAATTAAATAAGGAAAAAAATGAAGAAAAAATTATAATGAGGTCCCAAAGAAAAAAACAATTGAAAAACAAATCTCAGAGATTATTATTCTCATTATAGAAGTCATTATAGATTGTTAAAGTTGTTATTGAGACTTTTGGTAATTATTTTTTTTGTGGGATTTGATGTAATTCCCCCAAAAATGAAACCTGCAAAGTATTTTATTTATGTTTTTTTGGGGAACAACACGATTTCGATATATTTGGTTGCCCAGAGAAACTGGAAGTCTAGAGAACTCAAGATTTCACCACGTTTGAAGTTATTTCTGATTACAATCCTCTTCAGAAATCTAATAGGCTACAAATTGTTTTACTCCAGTCTAGTTTCAGTACTTGTTACGGTCAGAATTATGCATTTAGACAGCCAAATAGTTACTCCCTCCTCCTTGTTATAAATCGCAAATAACTAATTCATAAATAATAATAATTTTATGAATAATAGATAATTAATTAAAATTAATAAAGAAGTTAAAAAGATGGTTTTGTTTAATATACTGTATATTTTTATAACAAGTGAGAAAAAAATAAAAAATTCATAAAAAATGTGATAAAAGAGTATGATAAAGGAAAGAAAATGAATAATTAAAAATAAAATTAAAAAAATACATTAAATATTTAGATAAATTTTAAATTAGACTTATAAAATGGATCACATATTTTTTTCAATTTTAAAATTTATAAATAAGAGTAGAGGAAGTATAAAATAAAAACTAGGAAACTACTCTACATATCTAGGGGGCTAGGGCCCCACCGTTGACTTTCTTGCAGAACAGAAGTTCAGAAATTTATGGTACAAATAAATCAGTTAAAAAAAATCCCAAATTTCGGCTCTAAAAGAAAATTAAAGAGAGGCGTAATATTGCTTAATTCTAGGAGGAACTTGATACATCTAGTTAAACTACTCCTCCTATCCTTAAAACTTATTTAACTAATTTGATTAGATTAATAAAATTAAGTAAGTTAGTTAATTATAAGAAATGTGACACATTTTTTCTAAAACACTATAATTATTTTTCTTAATATCTCCTCTCCCTCTTTTACTTGATTATGGTTGAGGGAGTATCCATAGGGGTAATTTAGAGAAAATTGATAAATATGAGAAATTAGTCTTATATTTAAACTAAAACCAACTTAACAATTAGGTCATATATTAAAGATCGGAGGAGTAGTATTATAACTTTCTTATCAGCTGAATCAAGCACTTGGCGACATCTCTTTTGATATTTTTAGAAGCTGCAGAGAAATAATTCTACTACGAGAACATATTTCATCTGTCTACACAAAGAACTCTGGTATTCTCCTCAAATTATGTTTAATAACGGGCAGTGAAAATGTGGGGTAGTTAGATATTATCGAAGAGCAAGAAACAGTGTATACAGTATGCAGAAGAAAGCTTTACTATTACAAAACATAGACATGAGAACTGAACTATACATCTCCGACCCTCAAGACCCAAGCAATAATTCACCTCTTAAGCTCAGTCTCCCAAACATTCCCACGATATATACTTGCAAGGAACAAATCTCAGGAATGAGGTAGCATCAAGTATAACACAAGGAAAAACACCAAATCATGGGGAAAAAATTCAAGAAAATCAACAGTAGATATTTGATGGAAAGAAGGGGGGGGGTCAGCATTCGGTAAGCACAGGGAATACCCAGTGGAAGTGAGGGGTCATTTTAATTGGCACAGGACCTCTAGGATAGTAATCCTTAAGACCACTAATTTTGGCCAAGCTGGCTTGAATATTGCTGCCATAGTTGCTGCTCCTGCACAAGAAATTGCTGGTGCTTCTCCATATCAGCCATTTGTACATATGAAGGGGGTGGAAAGCTCAACGATGCAGAAAAAGGGTCCTGATTCAGTTTCTGCACAGATCCATCTGGGGCAGGCAGTGCGAGAACAGGACTTGTGTTTCTCCCTGGCCTTTGCCATACCACACTGCTTTCACTCCCTCCACTCAGTGTGGTAGTCTTTACATGCTGCCTTACCAATGCTTGGTCGTACATGCCATTCAACAACAGTGGATCAAACCCACCACCTAAAGTTGCTTTTTGCCTCGATAAATTACTAGCAGTCTGTGCCAATTCCAATTCCCAATCGGCCTTCCCAGGTTCAGCAGCTGGGGTTTGCCAAGCAGAACTTACTTCAGGCTCTCCATTTGCGTTATTTGTTGGTGAGGCAGCAAACAATGCCAGAGCCAATTTCTTACCCTGATCATCTGCAGTGACTACGTCGTCTCTTAGATTTACCAAGTCCTCTGTAACTTGTGGCTGTGGCTTAGGTTCTGGCTCAGGTGGTGGTGGTGATGGAGGTGGGGAGTAATTTTCAGGTGGTGGCTGTTCTTTAATTTCACTCATATCCGGTACCGCCTCTTCCTCTTTGGCCACTGCCGGAGGTTCTTTGTTCTTCTCTGGACTTTCTGGTCTCTTTGCTCGGTCCCTCAAATACTCCTCCAGCGTCTTCAATAACTCACTATTAATTCTCTCAACTTCTGGGTACTCTGATAATCTAGCCACACCAGTATTCTTGCACCAATTGTAGAAGTCAACGAGCTCATCGACTTGATTTGCCGAACTGGCATAAGCATCAAACACCTTAACACAATCTGGGTATTCCATATCAAAACATTTGTCAAGCAACACAGCCAAAACCTCACGAATATCAGCATACAGCTTGAAACTGTCCTTAACAGCAGAATACAACGCAATCAAAATCATCCTACTATTCTTTGCCAATCCCCTTGGCCTACAAGCTAGGAAACGATCTAGAAGCCGCTGGAGATGACCCATCTTCCTAAAAATCCTTTCAGGCTTCATTTCCCTCAATGGTGTCATAGCCCTCTTCTCCTCTCTACCTTCTCGACCCCCTGTTTCATTCACGTCACCAAAAGATCGGGTCCGTCTCATTCCCCTTCTGCCATAGTCATACTCATATACATATGGCCGTCGTGGTGGAAACCTGAAACTATTTTCCTTGCCCCTAGCACCCTCACTTTTCTTCTCGAACAGCATAAATTCGAGGAGTTGATCGAGATACATAGCGTAAGTCCTCACGAAAGTCGAATGATCCCAGGAGCTGGAGCGAGCCTCGTCCCTAAAATCAGACATGTTTAACAGCCTGGTTCCCCTCCTGGTCGCGTACAAGATTTCTTCGTGAAACAAAGGGGGTCCCTCCTTCATCAACCTGTGCAGGAGCATGAGGACCTTGAGAGCGACAATCCAATCCCGGGTCTTCGCTAAACGCTTGGACACGGAGGATACGCACGCATGAACATAGCCTTGAGAGTAAGATATTAAGCTCAAGATCTCGCGTACGTACTTCTCGCTGGCAGGGTCATCGACGTGACTCGTCGCTTTCACGATCGCGACCTCGAGCTCCGGCGCCATGTTGCTCGCCACCTTCGCTATCCCAATACTGGTCTGGTCCTTAACCACCCCAATCGCCTTACGGATCGTGCCTGGCGCCATATCTGATTCTGGATTGATTCACCGCCGGCACACTTTTTTCTTTCGTACCAATCTAACACTTCCGACTGTGAGCTGTATTTAAACTGACTCGCCAAGCTCAAAAATACGACTTATCAAGGAGATGGATTTTGATAAGCTTGATCGTCCGCACCTCAGTGTCTTCGCCTTGCCTTGATTCGGAGAGTAGATAAAAGAACATATTAATCGCTGGATGTTGGTGCTTACCGTTGTTGTCGTCTCAGAAATGAGTTGCCCTTTTCTTTTCAACTTCTCATATATAAAATAGTTGATGATGAGCTTATGTCGTATGAAGAAGCTGAAAAGAGGACGGCAATTCAATTCAGAGAAGCTAACTATAAAAAACCCAGAGATGGTTGGCATAAAAGAAAGAAAACAATGACTGGGGAATATGGATATAATAATTGTTTCATTAACATAAAAATATGATCATCGAATAACTTTGACTAATATAGTTTTACATCTCAGTATTAAATGATTAAATATTATTTTAAAGTTAAAAATATTATTATTCTGTTCTAGCATAATTTATACTACAAAATGAGTGTTATATAAGTCTTATATTTAAAGATCAAGGAGCATAATAAAATTTACTATGAAAATAAAAAAAATCTAAATCTAAATCTCATTCAAAAATATCTAAATAGAATAAATAATAACAAGAAAATAGGTCTTTATTTTGAAATAAATGTGACTTTTTATATATTTTATTTAGCCAAATTATACGAACCCCTTTGAAATCTAAATCACACGTAAGCAATTAAAAACTTGATCAATGACCCTTTTAATTTGTGCAGGTAATCACTCTTCCACCAATTATTTCACTATGATCAAAGCTTACCTCCTATTGATCACAAACTTCATTTTGTTCTTCTATGGCTAATTTCTTTAAACTTTGAGCTATATAAATTATAAACATAATACCATAAACTTGAGTCACGTTATAAATTCCTTAAATTTTAAGTAATAATTAAATAACTCTTATCATGATATACTACATTAATTAAATAATGAATAATTGATAATAAAGATTTATTTGCATAAATTTGAAAGTTTCAAGGGATTTATAGTGAAATTTTAAATATTATAGAAATTATATATATAAGCCAAAGTGTACATGGCTTTGTGTAATTTAATTATTCACATAAAATCTAGGATAGATAATGTAACAAGGTAATTCTCGAATGAGTCACCGAGAGCAAGTAACTAACGAAAAGATTTCGTCAGATTGATCCATGTTGCGACTTGCGCGTTTTGATTATTAAATAAAAATTCAACTCAGGACGAGCACAACGACCAGACGATTTGATCGCGTGGCCTAATGGATAAGGCGCTCGCCTCCGGAGCGGGAGATTGTGGGTTCGAGTCCCACCGTGATCGCTTTTTTAATCTTTATTTTCTGAACAACTACTTTGGGAAAACAAAACGCTGGAATCATCATCCGGAAACAGAAATGAATGAATTCCTTTCCATTTTGTGAGTTGATCTCCAATTTACAAATGAATACAGCACCAGCCATAACACTACTCCCCAAAGGGAGTACAAATTGTCACTGAGCTGCTATTTCTCCCCCAACTACATTTAAACCTCCAACCCTCACGATCACATCGGCCAGCCGTCCGTATCCAACAAAGAGGAAAGAGTTTTTTTTTTTTTTTTGGGGGGGGGGGTAGTGAAACACAAGAGGATATAGATCAGCAGGCTGGGTTTAAGATATATACAAGTTCCCCTGATACAAATGTAGTCAGACAAAAATCAAAAGGTGCTACTAGTTGTAGAAGTTAGGAGCAAGAAGTTCGGCCTTCCTTTCTCCACCCTCCTTCAGACGCTAGAGGCTCAAGAAGAACAACCCTACCATCAGTTAGCCCAAGGGCAATTTGATTTGGTTTATATGGATGTGCCGCCACAACTGTAGGATACACCTCCAAGCTGCGCCAAACCGCTATATCATTAGCTGAGCTTAAAAGTTAACAAGTTCGTTGAAACTTTTAACAATTTCATCACCCATTGTAAAGAAAAGAAATACCTAGGGTTTGGTTGTGCATACGCACTAAGGCTGATCCTGCATCTTACTTCAAGTGCCTCGCTGGAAAGGATTTTTATGCACCCATTTTTGAAGCTCACAAAAATTGATTGACCATCACATGAATAAGTAGCGTAAGTAATGGGCGGATCTGACTCTGGTAGAACTCTCTGAACAAATACTTCACAAGATTAAATTTTGAACTATCAAACATAACTAATCAAAGCTGTTGGCATATACCTGCATAAAGTGATTCAGCATAGGTGCTTCATATATGTCTATCTGCCTCTCATTGACAATTAGTAAGTGAGCTTGGTCCTTGTGAAATTCAATGTAGTTCACTACCGGCGGGTTTGGCACCTGCCCTGTATGCAAACTGTACAAAGTCTTACTTGCCCGTTTCTTCCATCCAGCTGCATCCCAAACACAAAGCTACACAAAAAACCTTCTGTAAGTTGAAAGGTAATGAGTTAACGAGGAGGAATTATTTCTCCATCCCCTTCCTACCACTAGCTAGGACTAGATAACATAGAAAAGCACAGAGTCATAGGGTGTTACTACATTTGAATTCAACCAAAGCTAAAGCGATTTTAGTTTCCTGACAAAAACTTGCAACAGAAATTAAAAATAGACTAAATGACAAGGCAAATGAGGCAAAGGATATATGTACGTATTTCTTAGAGACAGAAGGCCTATAAGACAAACCAATTAAGACATGAGATACCCAAAATATCAGCACACCTGAGCATCAGTCCCTGATGACGCAAGCACATTTAAACTTTGAGAAAAAGCAAGACATGTGGTCTTTTGATGACCTTGGAGCTCGGCTTTGACCTGACAATTAGGGGAAAAAAAAGAAAAGATAATGCCCATTTTGCAAGGTTGACTCAAACCCAAAGTTAACATGTTTCCCAACCTTTTTCGTGCAGGTACAGTAAATTAAAATTCTTGAATCATCAAAAGCAATAGCAAAGATCTCTTGAGAGAGAAAAATGAAATACGTAGCCACAGGTGGAGGCACTGCAAATGTATCCACTGTCTGCAGGAAATGAACACGTGGGAGAAAATAAAAGAAACCGGCAAGAAACAATACACTATATAAACAGGAAGCTGGCAGCGTTGATACCTCTAATGTCTTCAGATTATATCTGGAGATTCTTCCACCTGAAGCTGACAGAAGATGATGATCTTTCAGTGCAAAGCAGTGATCAACGTCCTTCTGATTTTCACTTGCATAATTTGTCATAGCTTGCCCATTCGAAGGTTGATGTAAAGAAGGTTGTATATCAGTTAATGCCTGCACAGGAAGACAGCATACAAAATTATCCCTCATACAGAAGCAAATGATGAAAACAAGGATTCAATGCACAGCAATGCAGTACCTTTCCTGACAAGCATTTATCATCATGTAAAAGCCAAAGTTTGTGCACAGCATTTTGGGCTAAGGCCAGTATGAAATCCCCTGAACAAGTATAATTCAATCTAGCAACCTGACATGGTTCATAAACCAGTAAGTATCACAGCTAAAAGTTTAATAGCCAAAACCAAAGAAAGTACCAAATGATATTCAAATCTCAGATTTATAGGTAGCACAATATCCCAATAAATGAGAAAAAACTTCACATTACTTGACCTGGAACAAGCTCCTCATAAATCATATCTTCTATTGCTTATTTACTAGGATAGGAGACTCATACCCTTGCGAACAATGAATCATCAGGAAGTACAAGCATGCAGCATTGAGATGGTTCATTGATCTCTACTATATCAGTTGATGATTTTATGCCAACTCCACAATTTTGGTCTATCTGGTCGTTACTTCCTCTATTTATGATGCAAATGAAAAGGGGTAATTAGTCTTGCACAAAAAATTTTTCCCCAAAAAATTTCACGCAGCAAGATCAGTTCTTCTTCATCTGCATGGAACTTACATTTCCATCTCTTTCTGGCTTGAGCAGTTTTTTGTGACTTGTAATTCAGATTTTTCAGTTCTCTTCAAGCTGAACCCAGAATTCGCATCAGTCATGCAGCTTGCATCGTTAGACTGAACATCAATTTGAAATGGAAAAGGTTAATGACTGTGGAGGGTATAGAGGGAATTACACAACAATCCGTTTGCCTGCACCTACACTTCAATTGCAGTCTAGATACTTACTGATTTCCCAACTGAAAGTCTAGATAACAAATAACTGAATTACAAATAACAGAATGAATTGTAGACTGTCCTTTTCTTACCCCACAAGTCCATGGTGAGCTTGATTCTCCTGTCTCCAAACTAGATGAACTAATGGGAACAGATGGACCATAACAAAGGTAAGGTACTCTAGGTACAGTAGCCAGAGAAAAAGTCCTGTTATCAGGATTAGCCCTTGCTTCTGTATGATGGAGAAACCACCAATCCATACTGCAATGTTTAGTGGCGAATTACCTCTTTTGAAAGAGAAAAGGCTGTTGAATTAACAACCTAAAAACATAAACAACTAACAAATGATTAGCTTACGTCTGCTTGATTATTGTCAAGAGTCTTGATTTATTCATGCAAGGAAACTTGACTTTATATTGCAAAATAGGATACTTGCTAATTAATTGATTCCGACCATCAATCAGGTCAGCTCTTACAGAAGAAGGATCAGTAAAGTTGGATAAATAGTCACTCTTTCTGCAAGAAAAGATGAGAGTAATATATTAATGATAATTCAGACTGAAAAAAGAAAAGGAAACAATAGCCTTCTGTTTAACGGCAAAATAAGTTCAAAAGATAAAAGTCAGAAGCCTTCTGTGTTTCAGCAATCTGTATATTAGGACAGTGGTCTTTGGAAATTAACTCCAATGCCAAAGCACACAATGAGTGTTCAAAAGGAAAAACCCAATAATGGAACTTTTACAAAATAAATTTATTCTTAAGACATGTAACATAACAAGCATTTGAAAACAACGACTTCTATTTACTTTTAGGTAAATGGGTACTGGTTGTGTAAATCCTTTATCCTTTTGCACAGTACCAAACAACCCTCCCATTGACAAAACATAAATGAAAAGAAACAAGAAAACAATAGCATCTGATAGTTACCCATCGAAAGCTTCAAGGTGTCTTCCATCTCGTATCTTGAAAATTCTCTGTAATGGATACTGGTCATCCAATTTTGTGAAGGCCGAAAGGTACTTCTCTGCCTCATACCATTCTCCATCAATAATTAATTTCCCAAAATGATTAAGATTGAAAAACATCTTTGTTTCTTGCTCCAATCTTCACCAAACATGTTTTTGGGCACATTCAACAAATAATGTTAACATCACTTTTTTTAAAATCAATAAATAAAATAAAAAGATATCAGGAAAAAGATAGACTAGGAAAACACAAAAGACATCATACAGCAATAGCATACTTGTGACGAGTCAACATGAACTTTTCTTCATCAAGAAACTGAAGAATTAAGTAAATTAGTTCTTCCTGCATATATACTATGCATGTATCAGATGAGAGGACTCAGCATGAAACCAGGCAACACAAGAGCACACAAAGTTCATATTCTTATATTCTAAATTATTTTCAGGAAAATAATCAAATAATGGGCCTTTGTGTGCAAAAACAATTAAAAAGTATAAAAGCATATTAAACATAAAAAACTGATTTACTTTAATGCTCGTTTCCTTTTCTGGGCATGTGTGGATGAGACACATTATTGAAAAAAGTCCAGAAGCATTTAATTTTGGAAGCGAGAGTTTATCTTGGAAAATAGGATTTTCCTCTATTAACTTCTTCAGATCACTCTGCAAGTTGGCCCTCGTGTGTACTGAAATGTGCCAGGATAATTTCTCATCATTCCTGCAGATTAATTGTCCATATCACTTTAAGAAGAAATCCTTATCGAAAACCCTATTAAAATAATATATTTTGCTTGCCTGATACTCCCTGAAAAATGGACCTTGGTAAACTCTCCATAATGATCAGCAGCAGAAGCAGAAAGCAGACTTAAATCCTTCTGCAAAAAGGTTTCAGCTTCAGCAAGGTTATTTCTGGAGGAAATCAGCCAAACACAAAGATCACAAGTTCTTCAGTACGCGTTGGAACATGTCATAGTAATAACTAGAATGATATAGCCTAAGAACTTTCGATTTAGTATTTATTAGAAAATGATAATGCAAAAAATACTCATCATATTCAAATGTCGTTTGTCTTTTTTACTTTGCAAGTATATCGCTAATATAAAGTTTCAAACATTAGGAGTTGAATATGATACACATGACAAGATATTAAACATGAATGTTTGCAAGTGCACGTTCATGTTGAGTCGTGTGAAACGATTTATCTTCAAAGTTTTACACGTCAAAGTATCCGTGTGCTTGAGTATAAATGTCCATCCCTTGAGTCACTTTGTTTCAAAATTTCTGTATGCAAAATGACAGATACAGATCCAATGTCTTCTGTTTAGGGGAAACTAACATAACTCTTAACTAGTCTACAATTTTTAGGGAAAAATGACATCAAAAGAACACCGCCTACAGCTCTCAAACCCGTGCCCAAGTAGTTTCTGCCAGAGCATAAAACCAGTAGTGAGGGAATTTAAAATACGAACTTTAAAACACGTTTCACCCTTAAAAGGCTAGAACATGCCCAAGAAAATAAAAACATTATATGTCAATTAAAACCAACGCAGTGGGAAGAGGGAATTTGAGGGAACTACATTTTAGAATTTCATAGAGGGATAAAGTGAGGATGATGAACAAGGAATCACGTGATAATCACGTGATTTTTTTTTTTTTTAAAGAAATGAGTTTTAACGCATATTTTAGTTTTCGCATTAAAAAAAAAGGCCTTTTTTAATCTTGAATGCCAGAGTTTTTTTTTTTTTTTTGATGCTTGAATGCCAGAGTTACTAGGCTATACTTTTGGTGTTTCCATTTTTTTTTTTCAATGTATATAGAACTCGCCATCTTGAAAAATATTTGATGACTAAGCTATCTAGTCAACGATTAAAGACACAAAGACAGCAAAGGATCATATTCATAGTATAGATGGATCTGAGCGTATACCTGAGCATTGTCTCAAGACATTTCTGTTTCCGCATCCTGTGGAATATCTCCCTTGACAAAAAACTATCACCGGTCCTTGTGAATGCAGAAAGATAATTTTCTGCCTTCTCCCACTCACCATTGACAATTACATCCCCAAAATACCTCAGATTGAAATAAATTCTTGATTCTTGCTCAAATCTTCACAGAGAAATATGAAAAAAGAAAAAGGTTTAGTTACAAAATAACTCCCAAACTCATATGCAGTAGCAGTATCATAATGACTATAATAACAAGATGGAATTTTCATCATACAGATGAAGACTCTCCTCGAAATTCTCCTCCGCAAGAAACTGATGGATCAAAATGATCAGTTGCTTATAAGTATACGAGTCCACATGCACCCCTACACAGGAAGCAGGATTGAATATTAGAATATACGCTTAGGGTTTGCAAACTTGAGCCCACGAATCAAAAGAGGGAAAATGTAGTTTAACAGGACAGGAAAATAGCATATCAGGGAGGCGGAAACCATACTTGCAGAGGTGCTTTCTTCGGCGTCCATTGATCTTCAGTACAAGAATGACTGGAAGGAGAAAACAGGTTGAACTGTTGGAGTCCTTCTGGCTCAAAGTCAAGTCTCTTTGCTCCACTGGGGGTTGAAACGTACGGAAACATCCAGACCAACAATTATTATTATTGCAAAAAATTGTCAGAACTTCGTTGACATCGCTACCTGCTTCTCACCCTCCTGCGAGCTTCTTTCCGAGGTAGTTGTTTTGGTTTTTTGGGCCTTTTTTTTCCCTGCAAAGTAAAAATATCCAAAAGAAAAAAGTTAATTTAACTTTTAAATATCATGCTTTCATAAAAATATAAGAAAACTAATAAAATATCAATTAAAATGTTTAGAAAGCATACTCCTACCTCCTATTTTAATATAAGAGTTAGTTTGATTTTCAATTTGATTTTAAATATAAGATTCCAATTCATTTTCTCTCATATTTTTTTAATTATTTATTGTAATAGCTATATATCTTAAAGATTCTACTAAATATATATGATTAATAAAGATATTCTAAAAAAGTAATATTTATTTATTACAAATAATTAATTTAATAAATTTATTAATCAATTTAAATTGGTAAATCAGTTTTTATTTCTATTCAAGTAGTATTATATGGGCAACTTGGATTATCTTTACTGCACATAATCGCAAATATAGTACTCATGCGTCCAAGTTAATGTAATGGCCAACAGAATACAATATTACTACAATCAATACATAGGGGGGCAAAAAAGTGCGTTCTCTATATTTGGGCGGTTGCAGAACTCGGGCCCTCCTTTGGAAACCACAAAAAATGTGGGCGAAAACTTCCATACAAATTTCAAATCATAAATACTTCTCTCGTCTTATTTTCAGGGTAGAAGTAAAAAAATTTTATCTTATTTATAAATTATTTCATTAAATCTTTAATATAAATATAGTATTTTGTTCTTCATTTATTATAATGTAGATAGTTATCTTTTTTGAAAGATGTATATATTAAATAGGAATAAAGTTAAAAAATTGTTATATTTTAATGAAAAGTTAGTATATTTTAAGGTTTTTCTTGATCTGTGTGAGATATACTAAAAGTATCTTATAAATAAGACCTGATGAGTACGTAACTAACCAAAAAGGTTAGTCCATTATGAAGTAGTAAATCAATGTTTGAATTTTTAATGGACGAGGCGTCTATATGTAGTGTTCAATAGTATTTCAAATAGGATTGCTTCAAGTAGAAGTATACGTATGTGTTAAATAAAAAGTTAATTACATAACAATTTAATAAGATTACAAGATTGTAACCGAGAAAAAATCCTACTAGAATCCCCCCTGAATGTTTCTCATGTTAGTTGTTTATCACTTCCGCTCTAAACCCTTTCATTTCATAATGGAATGAATCGAATTCTCAAAATTACGCGAAAAGATTATTAAACTTCCCATCGGGCCCCATAAAAAGCATACAACCACAAGATGTTCACTTCACACAGCCTCTTTTTTCTTGGTTTTTGAATTAAACAAATAAATTTAAAAAGTTCAAATGGATGATAAAAAATAGTTCGATTAAAAATTGTTAATATATGAGAAAATTAGACTGGATTGAACATGCGGGTAGTGATTCTTCCAATCTCGTTTATAAGACCTTTCTTATTAGCTTTTAAGGTTAAAGTGCGTCCAGCACCCCAAACTATTTATCCAGGTGCGTCTAGTAGCCTAAAGTAATTTTGGGTGCATCTAATGTCCTAAACTAATTAAAATGGTGCGTCCATATCCTAGACTAATATAAACGTTATGTTTAGCCGTTACTTTCCTGATTCAACTTAAAGTTGACCCCAGATATTCTACATGGTAGACACATGGGCACCCGATGTGTATTATTCTTACTCAAAATTGAATTTATTTCCTTCCTCTTCTTCTAAATAAATTGACTTTTGAGTAAGAATAATACACATCAAATGTCCATATGTCTACCATTTAGAATATCTCGGGTCGACTTTAAACTGAGTCAGGAAATTAACGGTTAAACATAATATTTCTGTTAGCCTGGGATATGGACGCACCATTTTAATTAGTTTAGGACACTGGATGCATTCAAAATTACTTTAGGCTACTGGACGCACTTGGGTAAATAGTTCGAGGTGCTGGGCTCACCTTAACCCTAGCTTTTAATAATATAAGACCCTTAAAATTTTAATTTAATAACATATTGGTACTACCTGCGATTCTAAATATAAGAGCTAGTTGATTAATTTGAATAAATTAAGAAAATAAGTTAAGCTAGTTGTTTCTAATAAATAAGTGTTGTATTTTCTAAAATATCCTTACTAATCAGGTGTATTGGTTAGAACTATCATTATCAGAAAGATTACTTTAAAAAAAAATGAATAAATATGAGAGGCATAGTGAATTGTGGTCTTATATTTAGAATCAAAATAAAAATCAAACGATATCTTATATTAAAGACTACAGGTAATAAATTATTTCAAAATATTCTTTTGCCTATTTCACGCGTCCCATAAATAATGACCTTCTCATCTCCACCTCCCTTCCCCTATGAACTATGCCAATAAAAAGGTAATTTATAAAAACGAGCACGAATAATATTCAATGAAATCTCTTTTTTTCCAAAAAAAAAAATTATGGGACGTGTCTTGTTGTTTTTTTAAGATAAAAATCACTATTACAATAAAAAGCATTACAAAAGTATACATGGAACTAGGTTCCAGGCAGCAGCCATACATTGTATAAAATAATACATGTAGATAATAAACATTAAAATATTAAATTATTTAATACGCAACTGTAGATAAAAAAGGAAATAAAAGCAAGCAGTGGATTCAATTAATTCCATCATCGCACCAATAAGAAGTGTGCGTGTGAATGTAGACAGCTAGAACATTTTATTTTATCACCCAAGCACTACCCATATTAGGTGGTTTCCCATTTGTTTATGTCAAAAAAACCGTGATTCTTATTTTTGAAGTTATTGATGATGATCACTCACTGAAAGAAGTTGGGGCGGCCATCAACTTCAGGACACATAATCAATTCATAAAACTGAACATAAAGCAAAATTTTTCTATTGGACACGTCGCCTTAAACCAGATGAGGACTGTAATAATGCAAACAACTTGAAGAAATTATACCCTCCTCCTACCCTTTGGTTGCTTGATCATGAAAATCTAACTGGCTTAAGATTTTCACTTGTTACCCCTGTACATATATATTCTTTCGTGTGTACATAAAACTTTGCTTTCTACAACCGATACACGCAAATTTTTGGCCTAAAGAGCACATAAAGATCAGCACATAGAAGTTCAATCTATTTGCTGGAAGTGGATTCTTCAACGCCACTCCTTACTATCTCCAAGCGTTTAGCGGAGTCAATGAAGGATCTGCAAAATCATCAATAAGAAAGCATTAAATTCTTTTGGAATCTTTTGCCATTTTCCTCCCTAAACTTCCTTTCAACACAGTGATTTTTCCTAGCTGATGTGATCAAAAAGAAGTCAATGGCAAAAGAAGGGATAACATCTACTTACTGCCAGGGAACATCGCCAGCAACCAGCCAGTCCCCTTCTTCGTCCTGATACGTAAGTGTATAATTTGCCTTATCTTCCTCGGGTTTCTGGTCTGCGCAAATAATAGACAGAAACCAAAGGAAGGCAAAGATCAAATCCACGATACCTCACATGACCACAAAACGAATGTAGTAACTGTTACTTACATTTATTAAACATGCTAATTAGCTCATTTGTAAGAGTCTCATAAGAGCTGTAAAGCCTCAAATTGATCTTCCGTCCTATGGCTACTCCTTCCATCTTAACTTTAACAAACAAAGAGTTTGATCCTCTATTTCCATTCTCAGCTAGCATCCTATAGTTTCTGATCGGGACTCTTGGATGTTGCTGATGGATTTTCTTCTTCCTCCATGATTTAATTGGGGGCCATCCCACCAAACGGTTTTCTTCTTCGTTAGTCCTATATATGCAACATAAAAACAAAATATATGGTCTTTAAATTGTTCACGAAATGATTAATTGTGCCAACTAGATTCAACATCAAAATTTGGTCCTCCAAGTTCAGTTGCTAGTGTACGAAGAGAGACGACAAGAGCAAATAGCACATAGGGTAGAAAAAAGTCAACTTACTCGTTTTCCGGATGAGTGTTTCTGTTTCTCTTCCCACCTCGGTTATCTTCTTCGTTTGGCTGTCCGTTCCATACCAGTAAAGGCAGAGTTTTCGAAGAATGTCCGAATGACTCTTCAAAGCTGCGCTTGTTTTTTACATGCCCGCGGCTCTCAATACAGAAGCCGGGCCTCCTTAACTCTGAACACTCCAAGCCATAGTTGGTTGGGTTGAATATAGGATTCTGAGTCGGGAGAGCCAGACCTAACTGAAGCTCCATGTGGCCTAACAACTAACAAGCTATTGTTATGAGGAACTAACAGAGGGTATGGATATATATAGGGCAATTTTTTAAGCTAGAAATAGAAGTAGCCCAAAGTGAATGGAATTATTCTTCGGAACTCGTAACTATATGTGTGTGTGCATGTGTAGGCGAGGGAGAGAATGAAAGGGACTATTGTCTTGTGGAATATAGCTGGTTAGGGACAGCATGAAAGTTGGGTCGGCTAAAAGACCAACAACATTATAAACTAGTTGGGAAACGGACGCACCAACGTGCCATAGCCACTTTGCCCGGCTTCTTTCATTGGTCTCAATTTTCAGGCCTCGGCGGCCCCACTTACATATCCTCTCCCTCTCTCTAGCCTTTCTTCTCTCTAGGTGTATGATACTTTGTTTATTATTCTGAGGAATTGTCATATTCATTAACACTATAATTTGGTGAAGGGGATCATTCCGAAAAGACTCCGGGGGTTAGGTTCATTAAGTGAAGCAAGAATCTAATAATACTTCTAAGTATATGACAACCCTTTACCCATAAAATGATAAAAAAGACAGGAAGATTAGCAGATATGGAGATATGAGTGCCCCAAATTGCACGACTTGTGGGTAATTAATCATTTATTTTCTTTACTTTGCCCCACAACCCCTTTATAGCCCCACACTAATATCCAGGACAGGTGTCAAACTTGTGCGCCATTGCTAACTGTTCAAATCATCATGAGCTTTTTATCAAGCAGTTGCGCGGCAAACAAGTGATGCTCTCATTGATCAAGGGCTTTGTAGTTGTAATGAACCCATGAACCCTGTTCCGTCTGCTGATTAATCATCAAGATCCTCCAACCAAATAAAAAATAAAATAAAATAACTAGTTCATGCACCTGTTGGTTTTGTTAGCTAATGTGTCCAAATTGTCGGCAGTTACCCGTCACCCATATCATGATTTTGGAAGCCACAATTTTCACACAATTCAATGAAGTAAAATTATAAGAAGAAGAAAAAAAAAAGAACTTTCGTCTTCTTGATTATGCTAATACTGACACTAAATCCTCCAGTGCCCTGATTCACACGATTATTATATGCCGATTCTTCCTGTCGGCTGCGGTTCCTATTCCCCTTGGTCTCCATAGACACGGGAAGTTAATGGGGGAGGACAGAAAGTGAGGTGTGCTAAACAAAACAACCACTAGCATATCTTACATATTACGTATGTGTTCCACGCTACCCACTTACCCATAGAGCACAAGAGAGATGGTCCAGGGCATGTGAAGTCCACGTGATGACGCGAATGGGCATATTGTGCCATTGGCTGAACCTGAACAACCAGTGTGTTTCAGAATCTTAACAATTTCTCTGAAGGGTCTAATCTGTCCGCTCTCGCTGCTGTGTCACGCTCGTGCGATGGAGGTTGTAAACTCGACTAGTAGGACCCATAACGTACACTTGGTCTACTTCAATGCTAGCCCTAGAGTTGGCATTCATTACTGCAGCCATACCCCGTACAACTCACTCGCACAGTTCATCAAACACCTTGGAGGCACGAGGGGGTGAGAAAATCAAACCCTGATTCTACTTTTCAAAATACTAATTGATAGGATTACTAAGACGTCACCATCAATGTTCAATAGCCGAGAGAAATGGAAGGGGCGGGGCAATTTTTTCCAGCCATCAAGAATGATGAAGGGGTCCCACTCAAGGGGAAGCGATACTCATATCCAAGCACCTGTTAAGAGTAAAAGATACTTACTTAGCTTTGATGATGAAGATAAGATGACACTCTGGCCCCTTTTTGTTCAAAGCTCTTGTTCAATTTATGTCTCGATATGCATCTTTATCAATCCAACCACCCATATGTCCATATCTCTGTGTTTAATTACCCCCAGAGAGAGGCTCCATTCCACATGGGGGTTAGACAAAAAATTTGTTGCCTACTTAACTGATCTTAATGTCTTGTTCATTTATGGGGCAGTACATATCTTCAGCTAACCTTCAAAATTGTGAAGCTCGTGATGCGATTTTGAAGTACCCTGGGCACGGTGGTTCTTGATATGTAGTCTGGCAATGTGAAAACACCATGAGAGAAAGTGGGAATTGATAAAGATTCACTCATTGTCTAGATGTCTATAAAACAAGACTCTTCTATTCAAACCGTAATTATTGTGTTTCAAATCATGATTATTTATGTTCTTTAATTTCTCGTGACAGCCCAAAAAGATGCTAATTCTTCTTAGGGGACAAGCCAAAGCGGTTTTCAGCCTTTGCATTTCGTGTTGCCTAAGTAAACTGGTACAGATTTTGGCATCGCCTTGCTTTTCTAATTTTCTCACGTGAGAATGTTAACATTTTTCACTGCCTTGACAAAGATAGAACCGTGCATGCTTCTTTAGTTCTCGGCTTAGCTTGTCCCTCTTTTTCTTTTCTATAACAACCAGTCCCTCTTATAAAGAATTCTCTCCCAAACTCACAGGTGTCACTGCAAGGATGAACATATATAACGACATCTTTTTCTTTTTTCTTTTTTCTTTTTCTCTTTTTTTTTTTTAATGTTGGCTTCATTCCTCCCTCCCCTTTGTAAAGTATACTCAGCCATCTCAAACACAGATAATAATGCTCCCAGAACATTTCAATTTTTTCAAATATACTAAATTAGAAGGGTCATATAATTTTTTAGGTTATATAAGTTGCAAATTTGTTTAAAAGTTTAAAATTATAGTAATTTTCTCCCATACCATTAAAAAAGTAACATTAATCAGTAAAATACTGACATTAATTATAAATATTTTTAACTATAAAAGATAAAATTGCTACGATTTTAAACTTTTGGAGTCATATTAAACCAAGAAAAAAAATACTTCTAGGTACGTAATACTTTTGATTGGAAATTTTCAGGACAAATTTGTACCTTAATCATTTCTAATTTATCAAGGACATTATTTTATAGATAAACAAATTAATTACTTTTCAATATCCTGCAAAATGGCTTATAAAGTGAAATATGAAGCTTTTAGAAACGTGCCTTATAATAGTCAATAAAAGGAGCATCATTTTGGTCTTTTCATTAATTTAATTTAATTTCTTAACTTTTTTTCCTTTTTGTTGGTATCATTAACCATTATTTTTGGATACTAAAAGCTAGGGAAATAATTCAAGCCTCAAGACGCTTAGCAGAATAAATTATCTCATAATATATAAAATATCAACAATACTCCTCCGGTCCTAATTATAAGACCCAATTGACTTATTTGAGGAGATTAAGAAGTAAGTTAAGTTGGTTATTTATAATAAATAAGTATTGTTATTCCTAAAATATCCTTGCTAATTAAGTATATTGGCTAAAACTATCATTATTAGAAGAATTATCTTGGAAAAAAATGCATAAATATAAGAGAGAAAATGGATTGGGTCTTATAATTAGGACCAAATAAAAAGTCAAATTGGGTCTTATAATAAGGACCGGAGGAGTATATCAATATAATAAAAATGTAAATTTCATATGGAACCATACTTCTCACAAGTCATAAAGCGGATATTTGGACTCTCCAACCGTGCAAGGTTCTTCTTCTTTCCATTTTTTGCAGCTCTTTACGACCTCCAATCCTTTTCACAACTTTTTATTTATTTTTTGGTATATCAACTTCTAAAATTTTAATTTTTCCCGGAAAAATGCGAGGCATTCAAGCTCCATCCAAATTGATGGCCCAATTCCTCCTCTACAGCATACTACACTGAATTTGGGCCGGCCCAATAAAGCCACTGGTCGAATTGACTCGTTCAATCTTCTTCTCTCGTTTTGAGTTTTTAACCAATAAACAATGTCGTGGCCTGCTAAGGGACCAATCAAATAAAAGGAAACTGGTATTCTCCTTTTGGAGTGGAGATGGGTTTAATCACATCAAAATCAAATTAGTTTCTTAATTTTTTAACAAAAAAAAAAGGAGTATACCATTTAATTTAGTCTAACTCTAACTAAACACAGAATCGAAAATTCTTAATCTTAACTAAAAACTAAAAAGCATCATTTATTCGATCAGCCAGGCTAGAAAGGATACATCCAGTTTGGTGACAAAGTCGTATTATTTAAGCCGGTGGAGTTGAGAGAGTCCGGTCCCAATTACCGAGCCCCGGGTCACGACTCGCTTCCAAGTTTATGATTGGCTTTGGGTATACGTTGCTCTCCTACAGATAGAAATAGAATTTTCCTCCAAATCACAACGTCTCCTTCTCCATTCCCAACAATAATCAAGACAGCGTGAAGCCTGATTTTCTGTATTTTTTTTCTTTCATCATTACTCCGTCTAGAAAACGCCGAGAAATGTCCCTAAGACCGTCAGCTTCGTCGGAGAATCTGACGCTGCCGGTATCGGATACTCCAAAGGACCAGGATGGAAAAACGCTTTTCATGGTTGATGAGAAGCTCTTTAAAGGTTCTGCTATGACCAAACGTGGAGCCTACGCTGCTCTATCCTACATGTCATGCGCAGGTGTGTCTTTATTACTCGCCTGATTTTCATTTAGCTAATCTTGTTGTATCTTCTTTTTTACAAAAATTTGATATTTAAACAGTTGTATATCTATCCGGAGTAAATAAACTTCTTGTCTGAAGTAATTCTCCAAGTGAGGAAGATGTCTTTCACGTGTTGGTCTTTTGTCCATTTTGTAACCATTCCCATTTCCAATTGGATGTTCGACTGTTGGCATGAATGATCAATAGCGCACAAGCATTTGAACCAAAATAACCAAGAACTCTGAGAAAAATATTGAAGTTTCTGAAATTTCCATTTTGATTAGGCCGGTGCTTGAACTAATCGATGGTCATGGCCTAACCAGTCTATAGCTTCGAAGAACCAGTTGACGTGCATGTTATATAAATGGCGAACTTTCCTTTCCGGACGACGAACAATCGATTGTCTATACACTAGTTGCAGAACACACTCGTTCTTCTTATTCCACCTTTTGTGCCTTTTAGAAGTGAATGAATCCTTCACATTTGTTATATTCTAGTCGACTGGTTTCATTAATCAGTCGACTTCCTTTATGCTAGATTCAACATGCATCATTTCTGTCATGCGCGGTTTAACATTTAGGAGATGAAAGCTGCTTTGTTCTTGGTGTCAGTTACTCACTCGTTTGTTTTCTTGCTTTGTAGTGCTCTTGGTGATGTTCAATAAGGCAGCTCTTTCATCTTACAACTTCCCGTCCGCAAATGTCATCACATTTCTTCAGGTTGATCCTTAGAAAGATAGAAGTTTCAATTTTGTTCTCCTTTATAAGAATGCATTTAATAATTTGTGGCAATTTATGGTTCTTGAGTTTGAGATTTTTAGAATAACTTTAGGCTAGTTGTATTGGTTTAAAATAAATGATAATAACTGTGTCCCGATCTAACCAAGATTACACAGGTCACAAATTTCTTGTATTGGAGGTTTTGAAATTGTGAACTAAAGGTCTTGTGAAATTGACCGCTCCTAGTAGAGAGAGCAAAAACAGGAACATCTTAAAATGCTTGGCTTTGAAGGACTCCTTTTGTGCTTGTGATTGATTCATTACTTTCTCCAATATGAAAGTTTCTTACGCACTTTCATGCCTTTGAGACCGAGTAGAAGGAAATGGTGTTGAATCTAAAATGTCTCTGCTGTATGTACACCTGTGTTCCCCACACTGGAGTTGCAACTTATACCGATATTATTGTTCTTAAAACCTATTTAATTTGTTTCAAAAATTTAGACAGGATTATCTTTTTGTTTCTGCTGCAGATGGTATGTTCTTGTTTGTTTTTGTATATATTGAGGAAGTGGAAGATAATCTCTTTCACTGCCGGTGATTCTTTGATTCCGTATGACAACTCAACAAAATTTGTACCATTGAAGACTTTGAAGCACACCCTTCCTCTATCAGGGACATATTTATTTTACATGGTATATCCTATCTTCCTCCTACTAACTTTTTAAGGGATAAATTCCCAGTCATTGCTTTTAATGATTTTTGTTCACTCTTGTATTTCTCCTTGAAAGCTAGTCACCATGGAGTCTGTTCGTGGAGTAAATGTTCCGATGTATACCACCCTTAGGAGGACAACAGTGGTATTTACAATGATTGTTGAGTATGTTCTGGTTGCGCAGAGATATACATCGTCTGTCATTTTCAGGTAAATGCTTCCACATGATTAAATACCTCTGAACTTTCTATTAAATGTTAATGAACTTCATGATGATTGCGAAAGTAATTGGTCACATTATATGCATGGTTGCAATGTCAGGTTAGTTGGGCTTTTGCATCATTTGTTGTGGGTATGCATCACGTGTTTAATATTTTTTAGCTGTTCGGGTTGTTCTTGTTTGCTCAATAAGTTGTGTTCTTGATAGTGCACGGGTGTCTTTGTTTGGGTTTATCTCTTATGTTCTATTCATTTATTTTATTCTTGTTTAAATAGGTATGATCATGTAGTTACTTGAGATATTGGTTTTCTCTCCTATCTTTGATAAATGTTTTTTGTTGGTATTCAATAAGTTACGAGAAAAAGTAAGCTCTGAATTTCCACATTGTTTATATAGTGATTAATGGAAACAATTCAATGAGTTTCATATGTGCTCTGCGGTGAACTAATATATGCATTTTCTGCATGGTGCATTGGGCATTTCCTTAGATTCTTTTCAAACAAAGCCCATTTGAACTGTATTTGTTATTCCCCTATTTTCCTTTTAACATCAAGCTTAAAGTGGTTGCTTGAATGAACATATTCCTGATTCCTTCATTCAACTGAAATTTATAAGGTTGTTATCAGTGTTGGCTTGATTGGCTTTGGTGCTTTTGTTGCGGGAGTGCGAGACTTGTCATTTGATGCTTATGGTTATTCGGTTGTTTTCATGGCAAACATCAGCACAGCAATATATCTTGCCACCATTGCCCGTGTTGGTTGTATTCAATACCACACTTTCTTATGATGTCTAACTTCTATAACTTGTTCCCTTTTTCTTAGCTTGATAGTTATATTTATTACCTCCTTCTTTCAGGAAAAACCAGTGGGCTTAATAGCTTTGGCCTTATGTGGTGCAACAGTAAGTTATTCGGTTGTTTTGGCATTATTGAAGCTTGAACATGTGGTTCATTTTTTATTTAATTTGTTTTGTAATGCCTCTTCTACTTTATTATAGGTGTCATATGTGGACCAGTTTTGCTGATCTGGACATTAGTTCAGGGCGACTTGAAGATGGCATTCAATTTTCCTTATATTTTTTCTCCAGGTTTTGTGGTATGTTCTAACTGCTGGCAGATGCTGTTCTCCTTCGTTCTTGGTTGTTGATCAATTTTTTTTCCCTCAAAAAAGTCATTTTTTGGAAAGTCAAATTGGAACTTCAGAGTCTTGCAGTGAATTAAATTATATATATTTGTCCATTCTTGGTTGTCTGTCAGAATCCAAGAAATACAAAATTTCTTTGTTCCTATTCATAGAAAAGCAATTTCTTCGGCCTTTACTCATTAGCATCAAGTTAATTTCCCAGGTCTCTTTAACTTTCTTTTGAAAGTAATTTGTTTGCTTGTTCGTTTTTTGCTCTGGCAGGTTATTTTGCTTTTTTCCTGCATACTGGCTTTCTTCTTGAATTACAGTATTTTTCTGAACACAACTCTAAATTCAGCTCTTACTCAGACAATCTGTGGTAGTCTGAAGGTTTGTTCACCAGCTAGTTCTCTTACCTTGCATGTCTGAGCTCTTGTTATCATGTTGGTACTGAGTATGATCTAATTGCATATGCATAATGCTGCATGGCCTTCTTTGTTCCAGGACTGCTTTTGTGATCCTTACCCTTGTTAATTTCTGAATACGGTGTGCGTATCTGCGTCTTTTTTTTTTTTTTTGGGGGGGGGGGTGTTTGAATAGTGTGCATAGCTATTAGAACGAGGAACTGAAGTGGATGTCTTAGGACATATTGGTGTCGTAGAAGACTAAAGTTTGGCATGGTTGGTTGAAGGGATTTGGAGGAGATGAAGGAGGAGTGCTCTCCTTCCCTCATTTGTTTTGAAAAATAAAATGGAAAGGAGGGGAAGAAAAATTTTAATATATTTTCCTTCCTCTCCCCTTCAGGAGCAGGGAGGATTCAGAGGGACCACTAAAACCCCTCCCCTCCCTTCCCTTCTGTTGGACTAAACACTATTAAGGAACTTTTATTTTGCTTATGGGTATGGTGCAGTCGAGTAAGAGAGAGATGAGAACTTAGAAAGACTCAATACATACTTTGCAATGAGATAGAAATCAAAGCCAATTTGTGCTCTTTGTTTCGATAGAACATGCTTTTCTCAAAGTGAAATTGGTAGTTCTTATGAAACTGAGCTTTAAAGGCTCAAAAATTGACGTTTGTGGGTGATATGGCTCTTAGATGTTAAATTTAACATACGCATTACTTCTCATTTTCTTATTCAAGTTCAGTTGCCAATTCCATTGTTAGATTATAACTAAAAGGTAAAATGTAGTTTTCGCAATAACTTAGTACTCTTCTGGTCCTAGATGTAAAACTCTTTTTGTAGTATAAATTACATTAGAAAATGGGTCTTGTATTCAAGGCCAAAGAAGTATTATGGTGCAGAATTATGGTTCCTAATCAGTCAGGCTGAATTATGGTAATGACCCAAACTTGACATAAGTTTGAATTAGGAAGTATCAGGATTACTTTTTCATCTAGAAAAAACAATATGCACCTTAACTTATCACAATAAGTTTGTTTGAATTGGATTAAGAATGATTTATTGCGCTTCCACATTATCCCATGGAATTAAATGTCCCTGATATGTGCTTCATGTTACTTGTTATTCTGTGTCTTAAATTTTGCCCTCTGCGATTTTTTTGCATGGATTTTAATTTCTTTGGCATTGGTGTGTAGGATCTGTTTACCATTGGCCTGGGCTGGATGTTATTTGGTGGGCTACCATTTGATTTTGTGAGTGATCTTGCCATGCCATTTTACTGTTGAGATCTTTCTTTTTTTTCATTTTTCAATGACAGAATCTGTTGATGTTTTGGTTACAGTGGAACGTCGTTGGGCAACTTCTCGGCTTCATTGGTTCTCTTTTGTATGCCTACTATAAGCTGGTGGGCAAATAGCATGCTCATGCACATAAAAGACGTTTTTTTTTTGGTTCGACAAACGCCAATTATTTGCTTCAGGAGTTCTCAGAAGGAGTCGTCAAAAATGCGATCAAGCTATTAATCTAAAATATTTAGGCAATTTTGCTTAGTGACAAAGGTAGTATATGATTGTGTTCCAACTTTTCTCGAGGAAATACTAATTGAGCCAGTACTGCGTTGACCCCATTGTATACGAGATTAATCCTGTGCATCCATAATTTTTGTATTAACACTTTCTACCCCTACCAATTTATTTCTATGTTCTGTGCCCATCTTTCCTGTATGATAGTAGAATGGAAAGCGATTGAGATATTGCGGAAAACTCCCCCCCCCTTTCTAGTGACTGTGTAACCATAATAATTTGAAGCATCTACAGATAGAAAATAAATCTTAAAAAGCCTTCATGGGACTCTTAAAATTATTGAAATTGAGCAGATGGCGCATGCTAGTCATTTGCCAGCGTTGGAGGAATATTCTCCCTCTAGATGATCCCTTCCTTCCTTCGGGTTGTCTTCAAATGTCTGAAAAGAAGAGAAACTTAAAAGAATAATTATAATTTCGTGAAGTGTAAAGAACCGATAAACATATTCTTATTTTCTAATGTTGATTAAAGAAGATAAAAGGTAAACGTGAAGCCGTCTGATGGTAACAGGAGATATATTTATTACTTTTCTAGTCTTAAATATAAGATTTTTTTTGTAGTGTAAATTACACTATAAAAAAAGTTTTATATTTAGAACGGGAAGAGTATGACACTAAGAAAAAGACACTTCATTTACGTATTTCTGGCAATCTGATATTTTGCCTCCATTTCCAAAATATCTATTTCTAAGAAACCATCGGGCAAGTAGGAAAATCAGTGTGTGAATCCATATTCTCATAGGAGTGGGTAAACGAAGGGAAATCCAATGGATCATGTTTTTTTTCCCTTAATAATCAATAGCACAAGTACATGTTTTGACTTTATTATTATATATAATTAATAATACAACCCGATATTTTGGGAAGGAGATAAAAAGCCTAACAGCTGTCGAGTCGGTTGACGGCGCGGGAAACGGTTTGCCAAGAGCCTAACTGTCTTCTCCGCAATCGCCTTCGCTTCAAAGACTGAGTAAACTCTCTCTCGCTCGCTCTTTTATGAGGAATCTTCCCCGACAGAAGGTTCACTGTAGTTTCGAAAGCCATACCCTAAATTCATTCTCACAATGCGTGTTGTTCTGCTTCAAGAATCTCTCCGTTCTCTCTCTTATATAAAGATTATGGATTGAGTCGGTTCCTGATGCTATCGAGCCAAGGTTTGTTCTATTGAGAGCTATGGACGACAGTACATTGGTAGAGCGTAATTTTGCTTTCAGAGTTTCAAAGGAGAGCCCTCAAAATCGACGATCTCTGGCGCTGCCATTCTCTCCATTCACGATCATGGAAGGCATTTTCTCCCGCAAGAGTTTTTCGTATCGTAAACTTCCTTCCGAGCCCCTCAGGCTCTCCGTCCTCAAATTGGACGGCTCTTGCTTCGGTAATTCATTTCTCTACTAGATTTTTTTCTCCACCTTTGAAGTTTCATCGTCGTCGTTTTTGTTTTGGCTTGTGTTTCATCGTCAAGAGTTCGTTCACAGATATTGTGGTTACAAAGATGGCCACTATCGCAGAACTTAGGCAGGCAGTGGAGGCAGTTTTCAGTCACATGCCTAAGAAGGGACCCGGGAAAATTTCATGGTGTGGTTTATTACTCATCTTTCGTATGCAGATCAAGCATGTTGCTGTGTGATGTAAAGTTCTATAAATCTAGTCGAGTCCACTTGAACTTGTTATTTTCTAGATTTGGATTCTCTCAATTATTCAATTGCTCAAGACAAATACAGATTTATGTGAGATTCACCTGGGGTGAGGGTCTAATACAAGTTCGACTCTAGTTTTATCTTTCTTCACCTGAACGATTAACCAGTAGAGGGATCCAATTTTTTTTTCTGTTCCTGTTACTATTTTGATTGCCAAGGACAGGGGCCAACCAACGATTTTTTTTTGGGAGACTTAAAATGATAGTTGATTAATTTTTATTGACAAACTATAAGAATTTGCCTCCCCAACCTTGTGCAATAGAAGTGATTTCTTTTTCTTTTTTCCTTTTTAACTTTTAACATAAATATTAAATAGACTGCAATTAGACCTGGCTGAAATTAAAGGAATGTTGATTTGAGACTCAAATGAAGCCGTCTGTGATCAAATTTAAATCGAAATGTATATCACTTTTTTTTTCTTGCCAATGGAATACGTGCTACCTTTTAAAACATTAATTCCCGTGCATGCGGATGTTTTCCTGGTTGTCATTAATTTGTCTTTATATGTATTGCTTTGGTCACGTAGGCCGCATGTTTGGGGGCGATTTTGCCTGTCTTATGATGGACAGAAGCTAGTTACTGAAACAGATTATCTTAGAAACTACGGCATCAAGGATGGTGACCAGGTTTGTAACTTCAATTCTTTCACGGCAATTGCAGTCTGCACAAACACATGCTGGTGAAATATCTTTCACAATTTTGTCTCCACGCATTCCTTGATTTTTTTTTTTGGTGATGTGATTTTTCTTATTTATAATCTTTTAAAAAATTTGAAATATTGGGATTGAATTTTGAATTTAGGTTGAATACGTTGTGCTAAACAACTTAAAAAGACTTCCAAATTACTTGAGACAAGCACAATGTCCTGGCCAAAAAAGACAACCACGACGCATGGGGATGGAAAATTGAGACAGTTCAACTTAGTTCTTGTTCTAGTTTCTTTTTTTACAGCTTAAAATAAGTATTTCATCACTGTTGAGATCTACCTCTCATGCAACCTGATCCTTCCCCATCATTGTTCATAATTTGTACCGTTTTATTTTGGTATGCTCAGCTTCGTTTCATCCGACATGTCTCAAATAGTTGCAACGTGAGAAGGAGGAGATTCAAGAAACGTGTTGCTATCTCAAAACAAAAAAGGGGGTATGATTTTATCCATGAACTTCTTTATGTATTTCTGTAAAACACAACAGTGAATTTTCTGCTGTCCCCTGCATGATTAAGAACTAAAAGTCCTATTGATCTCCGACTTTCTCTAACTGAGTGTGGTCATTGCTTTTATTGGTCTGGGGAACAATAACATCCTGAGGAAAATGTCAACATGAACCCATCTGATTTTAGCGACCCATCTTTCATTATTACCGGTATAATTATAGTACGGTTTAAAGGGTGTGGAAACAATTACTATTGATGTTGATAGATGAACAGAAACTTCCGGGAGATATCATGTATGCTGATTTTGTAAGTCATCGCAAAATTCTTACACTAGCCGCTGGATGCACTTGCGTCTTGCAGGTCTTCATCAAAAGTAAGTAGCTATCAGCAGAAAGATCATGATGGCAGTGACAGTGATGATGAAATTGGTTTGGATAGCATAGTGATGGAGAAGGGGGAGATGCAGCATCTCAATAATGATGATCGCGCTCAGAATCTTGAAAACAGACTAACAAGCTTCTGGGGAGGGTTATTTACATGCACCCGACTTGCATTCATGAGAGGAAACAAAACTAAAGGCAGGATGTGTCCCCTGAGGCTTGCTCGAGGCTTACTGGGCAGTTTTAGGAAGATAAGCTTTTACAGGAAAAAGCGATTTTATCGAAAACATGCCGGGATTGAGTGGCGTTGAGACTCAGAAATATCTTCTCTCAGTTCACACATGCCCTCTTTTCTCGCTACAGACTGAAAGATGAGTTCTTTCTATCAATGCCAAGCGTGTGTGTTTAAATTTTCGCTGCCATGATGCTTGACCCAGCGAGTATGGGGCTTTATTCTGTATATATGGACAATCCCTCTCCACATTTCTTCTTTCTTCCCCCTTTTCCCTTTCTTTGTTTGTCATCCTACTTGAGATGGAAGCATAAAGGTGGTTCTTAATACAGTGTGATATGGTATGGCTCAACCTTGAAAAATCGGCCACGTTTTCGTTAGTTTTCTTTTTTCCTATATTAGCTGATCAATTTCAGAGATTTTACGGTTTCAGTTCAAAATAAGATTTATTTCTTCCAGTGATTTTGCTCTTCTGTTAATTACCTTGTCGAAGCTAAACTTCAAGCTGATTTGGACAGTGATCCTATTGGCCGAAAGTAAGGCAACCGAACCTAAAAAAAAAAAAAACGATGGGAAAGTCAAAAAAAGGCCCGAGACAACAATGAATCACTGGCGGATTGTGTTCAGGCAGGAAAAAGGACAAGGGCTGCGTTTGGGGTCCGACCCGGCCCACTAAGAACTGGAAACCCCGCGCCCGTCCCGTGCGTCCATTTTGTCAGCGTGCAAAGCATCATCCCCGATCACGGAAGCTCCCTTCACTAATTTGTGCGCCAAAAAAACAAAAAAAACCAATTTGTGTGGCGAATAATTTGGATAGCCTTCTGGGAAATCATCATCCTCTTCCTCTCTTTTTCCATGTACCATAACCCTGAAATGCTGAGAGGCTGAGGCTGAGACTTTATTGAAATCCAAATCCAAATCGAAAGCTGCAAACGCGTTCATCTGCTGCCATGGCCAGCATGATCATGGCCTCCTCCAAGCCTGTGATTCCCGTTTCCCCCATTTCCCCGTCCCCCAAACTTCCAGTGCTTCAAATCTCACTCCCCAAAACCTCCCTCCTCAAAATCTCAAAGCCCCAACTCGTATCCCTCGTTCCCTCCACCCTCAAATCCCTTTCCCTCCTCGCTGTCTCCTCCCTGGCCTTTGCTCCTCCGTCTCTCGCCGCAGAAATCGAGAAGGCCGCTCTCTTCGACTTCAATTTGACCCTCCCCATTGTCATGGCTGAGTTCCTTCTCCTCATGGTGGCCCTCGACAAGCTCTATTTCACCCCTCTCGGCACCTTCATGGACCAGAGGGACGCCGCCATCCGTGAGAAGCTGGGCAGCGTCAAGGACACCTCGGCGGAGGTGAAGCAGCTGGAGGAACAGGCGGCCGCCGTCATGAAGGCTGCCAGGGCTGAAATTTCTGCCGCTCTCAATCAGATGAAGAAGGATACTCAGGCCGAGGTGGAGCAGAAGATTGCTGAAGGCAGGAAGAAAGTGGAGGCTGAGTTGCAGGAGGCTTTGGCCAACTTGGAGAAGCAAAAGGAAGATACCATCAAGTCCCTTGATTCCCAAATCCAAAATCTCAGCCAGGAGATTGTTAAGAAGGTTCTTCCTACTGTTTAGTTATCCTCCTCCTTTTTCCTTTGTATTCATCTTCAATCCAACAGATACAAGGATTGGTGCTATATATTTGTAGAATTACGTTTTTTTTATCTCCATCTGTGCTAAACAAAATATTTCTGAACGTAAAATCTGTTCGTTCACTCTGAATCCTTTTCGGGAGAACATAAAATTTTTCCTAGTCCCTACAAGGAAGAATAGGGTGGGAAAAAAATGGACGGATCTTAACTTACGAATGTCATCCTTGTCTTTAAAATGTTTGCAAGAAGCAAAAGTAAAAGCCTTTCCTGTTCCTAAGTAATCTGCAAAAGCTGATGCTTGGAAAGTATGATTGAGCTGATAAGAATGGAGTAAACAGGAAGAGAATAGGCGAATCATTTATGACAATACTCTTGGATCCAAACATTCCCGCATGTCCTTCCAATCCACATATGCTAGAATTCCTCTGTTCCGATATGCTTCGTCAAGTAGCACTTCAAAATCTTGAACACCGTGTGATTTGATTGCATAACTTTGAAGGTTTCTTATTCTTGTGCCACTAGTTGCATTGTTCCATCTCATGTTAATTCTGTGTACTGATCACTGAGTTGATTGAATAAAGAAGGAACTATATGTATTATTGGTGTAGCAGTTAGATGTACACTAGTGTGATAAATGAACATACGCCAAAAGACATACTATTCAGAAATTAGAAATACTTGCTATCATATGTCCTTAATACAAGAGTTAGTTTGACTTTCAGTTCAGTCCTAAATATAAGATCTCAATTCACTTTGTCTCTAACATTTATCTATTTTTTTAATCTTTATAATAGTTCCATATGTTAAGGAGTTACTATTAATTTGTAATTTAAACATATTTGATTAATAAAGACATTTTAGGAAAGACAATATTTATTTACTACAAATAACTAATTTAACTAACTTTTTTAATCTTTCCAAATTAGTTAACTAGGTCTTATATTAAGAATTGAGGAAATATACTCCTCTCTTATCAGTTTTATTTTTTTATTTTTAAAAAAAGCCATGTTTAATTATTTAAGAATGAAGCATCATATTAGTACTTTGTCAACTCAGCATGCTTAAAGGCAAAAGCCCACTTGTTTGTTATGTCCTTATACACTTGCAAATTGACATTAACTAGATTGGGTGCTCATGTTATACCCCGAGTTTTTTTTTTTTGGCCAGTTATACCCCGAGTTATAGGCATGTAGTATGGCTAATAAGTAGGGGCGCTGTTCATGGATTTTAATTTTTATCTTAGATTAGATGTGGGTTTGTAGAATAGATAGAGATGAATCTCTAAAATTAAAAATAAATTAACGAGGAAATATTAAACTCAGTTGGGAAAAAAAAATTTGACTTCTATTATGGCAGGACATGGACCCTTTGAATGTGGGTATTCCAGTTGGCAAAATAATAATAAATAAATGAAGTTGAGTGAGATAAAAGAGTGAAGGATGTTTTTGTAACTTAACAAGTGGGGAAAAATAGAACAAAATAAGTAATTAAGTTTATCTTCACCGCGTCTTCAGGTAACGAAATTGAGAAGATCCATTTTGCTTACTAGCACATAACAACAGCCAATCTAACAGTTTCATATTTTCAAGTTATCTAATACACTGGATTCTTCTAAATTTAGTGTAATTTGCTATTCCTCCGGTCCTAATAGGACCCATTTTGTAGTATAAATTATATTACAAAATGGTTCCTATATTTAGGATTGGAGGAGTATCATTTAAACTAGAGTAAACTTAATCATTTAGTGCTTATAATTTTTATGCAATTAAAATACAACCCCTAAATTTTGAATAACTCAATCTTTATACTTTATCTTGTACTTTGATTTTATCTAATGCTTGCAAAGTAAATTTTATACTATTAAAAATCGGAGGCAATGTTTATATACAAGAATGAAGAACTTACAGGTCAGACACTTTAAGAAGAAACCATTAAAATTGATTTGGGGCATAAAAATTCAAGGAAGATGAGGCTTATAGCAGGAACTGCCGTGGAAGCAAAAGTACTTAACAATACCAACGAGGTTAGTTCAAGTGGTAAGCAGTTTGGTACCGCTTAAACGAGGTCTCGAGTTCGAGCCTCAGCATATGCAGAAATATCCATTGGGAGACTCACCCACCACAGCCAGGTGCACGACGCAGATCGGATCTAGATGTAGCCAGAACAAAGTTTAGGTGAATTGGGTGGCCAATAAAATAAAAAAAAGGCACTCACCAATCAATAAACTCAGAAGAGTTGTCGTGATGGAAACATATCATGCATGAAAAGCATTATTTGCAACATTATCAGACAAGAAAGCAGCCTAAACCTGACTTCAGTTTCATTTTTTTTCTTTCTCTGTCACTTTCACTTTCTTATAATCTTTTTCTATTCAGAAAAACAGACTCTAGACTAAGGTTGTAATTTCTAAGAGGAACTCACAACATTTTCAATTATTAAGAAGTTATTGGGCTTCATGATATTTTCTTGACTACGTGAATTTTCGCGTGCCCCAGGCCATTTTGCTCAAATATTACAGATTATTATCGGGAATTTATTTATTTGTGATTTTAATTTTCGTCAGCGTAATCAGAAAGTTACGTTGAAAACTTGAAATCACTACCCCCAGCATCCTCGCGTCCTTGCGGATTGCGTACACTTCTCTACGGTCCAAACCAAAACCATTACACTGTTTATAAAAATTTATTTAATTTTTATTTTAATTCTAAATATAATATCTCAATTCACTTTATTTTTTATATTTATTTTTTTTTAATATAATTCTTATAATAATAGTAATTCTAACTAATACATTTAATTAGTAAAAATATTTTTTTAAAAAATAATATCTAGTTATTATAAATTCTTAATTTAATTAATTTTTTTAATGTTTTTAAATTTTTTTTTTGGTTGCCCATCCAGTTCACCGGAGCTTTGTTCCGATTACATCTGGATCCGACCCGCGTCGCGTACCTGGTTGTGGTGGGTGAGTCTCCCAACGGGGATTTCTGCATACATTGAGGCTCGAACTCGAGACCTCGTTTAAGCGATACCAAGCCGCTTACCACTTGGACCAACCCGTTGGTTAATGTTTTTAAATTAATCAGCTGCAAATGAATGACATCAGAGAATCGTGGGTCCCACGTTTCGCAGGCGAGGCCCATATATTTTGATATTTACATTTACACCCGTATATGGATCCCCCGCTTTTCGTCACACTTCGCTTCCGTTCCGCGCTCCCGATTCCTCTTTACGAGATTCCAAGCCCAGAGGTTGGTTTCTTTTTAACCTCTTCTCGTTCGTTTCTCTCTCCGTCTCGACTTTACTCTGATTTTAGTTCTGAATTGTTAATGTTAATGTCCTTGTCCTCTCCTATGCCTCCTCTGGTCGCCGCTTTCACCGAAGATCTTGTTCTTCGTTTCATTGAATTTTCTACTGTTTATTTGTTTATTTTCCATGATTTTTTTTATCTGCAACTCCTGTTTTTACTGGCTCTGCTGTTCATCTTTATTTCTGGAAAAGCTCGAGAGTCCGCATATCCCGTAGGGGGTGGGTTCGTGACCTTTGAATAGTTTTTTCAATAGAAGCTTTCGGTGCCTGGTTCATGCCAAGATTCAAGCGCTACTGAGAATATAAGACGCACTTAAGGGAGTCGAATTTCGGCCTGTCGCTAGTTCTTAAAAGCATAAGGGTAGCTATATCTGGCTCAGTTAAGTCAACGAATTCTTGTTTTTTTTATTTATAAGATGGAAGCATTTGATTAACTTGTGACTGTATGTTCTTAATATTAATTGATTCTACTCTTGTGTCCGAAAATTAAGGAGTAATCCTCCAAAATAAATTAATGATGAAATGTTGGAGAAATAACGTTGTACAATTACCTTTGAACTAGTATCTGCTTGAGAAAGTAATGTGAACTCCTTGATATCTCAGCGAGGCGAACTAAGTTTTTTGGTGTTCTATTTAAAGTGCTCCATGACATGTTCTCAAAATTGTTAATAATCATATATCGATTTTGGGTTGTTCTGTTTGCTAAATTATCTTATCAAATATTGGCTTCAGATTGACAAATGGCTAAAGAAGTCACTGCCACTCCATCAACGTCTTTTGACTATGTGCTGTTGGGGGATAGTGGTGTGAACCCAAGAACCGTCAGAGGCACATCCAGTCATACAAGTCCAAGGATCGAACCTGAGAGGTTGAAACTTCGGCACAGGATTGGCCGGGGACCGTTTGGTGATCTTTGGTTAGCAACTCTTCATCAGTCAACTGAAGATTATGATGAATACCATGAAGTTGCTGCCAAGATGTTGTATCCAATCAAAGAGGACAATTTGAGGATTTTATTAGACAAATTTGACGAATTATATCATAAGTGCCAAGGAGTAGCTGGGGCTTGCTGGCTTCGTGGAATCTCAATTTTAAACGGAAGGGTTGGACTAATTTTATTTTTTATCTTGTATATTTCGAGTCACTCTCAACTTGGACCTCACGAACAATGAATCTTTTTTCCCCTTACAGATATGCATCATTATGAATTTCTATGAGGGTTCTGTTGGTGACAAAATGGCTAGGCTCAGAGAAGGAAGGATTTCGTTGCATGATGTGTTGAGGTGATATTGATAATTGATTTAGCAAAAAAATAAAAATAAAATAAAGGACTGTCAATCCTAAAGGCATGTTACTGGCTGCAGGTATGGAATCAATCTGGCCCAAAGCATTCTGGAACTTCATTCAAAAGGAATCCTAATTCTCAACCTTAAACCTTTTAATGTGCTTCTTGATAATAATGACCAAGCTATTTTGGGAGATTTTGGTATTCCCAGTCTTCTGCTTGGCCTCTCATTCCAAGGCTCAGATATGGCTCACAGACTGGGGACTCCAAATTACATGGCTCCAGAACAATGGCAACCTGAAGTCAGAGGCCCCCTATCTTTTGAGACAGATTCATGGGGATTTGGGTGTACCATTGTGGAAATGCTGACCGGTAATCAACCTTGGTATGGGAGATCAGTTGGTGAAATATACCAATTAGTAGTTAGAAAGCATGAGAAACCTCTTATTCCCAGTGGTCTTCCTCCTTCAATTGAGAATATCCTCAGCGGATGCTTTGAGTATGATTTAAGGAATCGTCCCTCAATGGTGGATATTTTGAGTGTATTTAAAAGGTTTGCATTTTTTTAAAAAAACCTTGCAAGAAAATTTGTGATTTTGTAATTAGACAGCTTTTGGTATTTCATGGCTTTTTCTATTTTTTTGCATTCAATTTAAGTTGCTTATCAAGTTCCGTAAAGGATGTGAATGGTTGTGAATGTTGGGCTCTAAAGGAAAAACAAAAGCGTAAAGTTAGTGTAGCAACAATGAGAATGTTGATAGATGTGTGGTCATATAAGGAAAGATAGTTTCGAAATGAAAACATCAAACCAAAAGTAGGTGTGGCGCCTATTGAAGAGAAAATGTTTGAACATTTGTTTGAGGTGGTTTGGGTATTTGTAGAGAAAGCCGTTGGAGGCACTGGTGAGAAAGGTAGATTATACAGTTTGGAATCTATAAAAAAAGATAGAGAAATACTAAGGAGAATACTCAATGAGGTCATTGGACGGGATTTTTTAGTCAACAACATATCTAAACACTTGGTTGTTGATAGAGTATAATAGCGTCGTGCGATCTATGTAACCAACCCCACTTAGTGGAATAAGGCTTGTTGTTGTATCAAGTTCCTGTAAACATAAATTCATCCTCCTCCAAAACATAATTATGTTAATATTAATGATGCAAGTATCGGAGTTCAGGTTCCATTGGCTATTGTATCAAAGGGATGGATTGATTCCTTTTGACCATTCTCACTCTAGAGAGGTTCTATGATGTGTCCAGGATGTCCTGCATCTCATGCTGCATATATATGACAAAATCCATTCTGACTACTGTGTAAGAGCTGACTGTGTCATCTATGGTTACTAAATGGGCTTACGGTGAACCAGAGTAGTCATGTCCCTTACATTTAACTCTTGAGATGTAGAAGTTATTATTGGTGTGACTTGAGTGGAAACTTATGCTTGCAAGTGGTAGTTTAGAGACCTCCTTTAAGGGCCGGTATTTTCAATTCATGCTGTTAATAAACTATTATGGCTATGGTCTTCTTTAGAAAATCGCTATTTGCAGGAAAGACATGAGGTTTCCAGCTCTTTAATTCCATGCGCCCTGCGTACAATTTAGTTGTTGATTTTCTATCTGAATTTGACTGTTCTGAACTTGTCTTTTACGAATCTTGGATAATGTCTGGACCACAAAATTGAAACTCTAATCGATTATCAGTGTTGTGATCGCCGAAGAAGAATTGAGAAATACTGGATCTAATTTCAATTAAGCATAGTTTTCCTTTAATTAATTTCTAGCTGTGTTCATGAAAATAACAAATTATGCTGCAACTAATTCTCTGTTCTCATTTGTCCTGCTAACTCCTCAGCTCTCTGGATGCATTAGCCAATGATGGAGGATGGCAATTTCTCGGAACCATGAAGGTTGCTGAAAAATCAAGTAGCACAGGCTATAGTGATTGGTTTCTTTCAAAGGATCGTCTCCAGGTGAATGACATGGTAAGATCTAGAAAACCAGCCAATTCATGCAAACGTCAAAACATGGATGTCCCGGACGGAACTGTTGTAGGTTTAGAACGTGGTGCAGATCATGGTTTTGTTTTAGTGAGGATCCACGGTATTCATGACCCCTTGAGGATTCATAGTTCAACTGTGGAGCGTGTCACATTTGGTTTGGCAGCCGGTGATTGGGTATGCTTGAAGGAAGGAGATGAGAAGCACTCGCCAGTGGGCATTCTACATTCCATTAGTCGTGATGGTAGAGTGGCTGTTGGATTTATTGGGATGCAAACTCTTTGGAGAGGTAATTCTTCAGAACTTGAAATGGCAGAACCTTACTGTGTGGGGCAGTTTGTAAGGCTTAAAGTCAATGTCTTGAGTCCTCGATTTGAATGGCCTCGTAAAAGGGGAGGGGCCTGGCCTACTGGTAGGATATCATGGATCCTACCAAATGGATGTCTAATTGTCAAATTCCCAGGGATGTTGACTTGTAGGGATGAAGCAAGCACCTTCTTAGCTGATCCATCCGAGGTTGAAGCGGTTAACTTTAGTACTTGCCCTGGGATCATAGAGAAGTATAAACACATAGAGGATCATCATTGGATGGTCAGACCTGCCCTAATTGCATTTGGCCTGTTTACAGCTCTGAAATTAGGCTTGTCAATAGGAAAGAAAATGGGGAAGAACAAGGTGCACGCAAAAGAGAGCGGAAATCAGCACGTAGATGGCCAGAATGCTAGCAACTCTGCCTGGAGATCTTCTGGTGCTGTAAATACTGGCAACACAGTATGGGTTCCTTCAGTTTCCAATATTCTTTTCAGAGAAGGCGCCAATGCACCAACTGATCGGTAGTATTACCACTCTGATGTCGTCATAGTCAAATAACTTATGAATGTACAGGTTACTATTAACTAGCCTCTGCACTAGTGAAGGAAATCCATCAACTGTACTGCTATATTGCAACTTGTCGATACATCGAAATGGAACAATGTAACGTACCGCAGACTTGGCATCTCTCTGAATGCAAAAATTGTATATGTGCTTTCCTATGATTATCGTACATTGTCCATGCTTATTTTCCGCCCAAGATTCTTTGCATTTATGACCACTCCAGGAATTGTTGGACTGCGTATTGCAAGTGGTTTGTCTTCTACTTCCTCTATTAGAAACTCTAATGTCTAGTTACACTTCGCGTCAAGTTTCAGTTTTCTAGAATTTGTCATGAATTATCAGGACGTCGGGGTGAATTTCAACCGGAACAGATTTTACACGCTGAGGGAACTGCTCACCTTTAAGCCTAACGAGAAGGTGACGAGTGTAGTCAAAAAGAAAGTCTTAAAGTTCAAATTTCTCATTGGGTCAACTTGTTTTTCAAAAGAAAGCCGCTGTCTTTTGAGTCGATGATCTGCGAGGTGAGTACATTCATGCATCTTCTCGCGGAAAGGGACTCTTAGAGATCACTTATGAGCATATATTCTTTTCGCTGTAAATCTGTGACTCGAGTTGTATCATTGTGCCACGGTTCTATACTCGTGAAACAGATGGTCTGATCTATCTTCAGTCAACTAAGAATCCGATCGCAATCATGGACAAAGGGTGAAAGTTCCAGTCAAATTCTGGAATGAATATGAATATTCAGCATCTCCTATGGCCAGGACTAGACTTTTGTGCTGGGTGGAATGTAGATTTGAACTTTTTAAGACATTCTTTAAATCACACAAGGTGGCTTATACCTAACATTCTATAATGATTATAGTCAAGTTTTTTCCACGATCTAAATAAATCTGAGATATGGCCAGAAAAAAATGTGCAGATTCATGAACACGAGTCAGTTCGCCAGTGCGCGAAATGCGGGAATAGTCAGCCGGTTAAGCATAATTATTCCGTATCTCGAGCTTGAGTGGCTATATGGATCCGAAGCCCACAACTTGAGAAAAAGCGCGGTTTTTGAAACTTGTTTTGACACCAAAATAGGCTTCATTGGATTCATGATTGGAGGGTATTTAAGTAGCTTTCAAAAACCAAAAAGTTGAGTTTAACAGAAAAGACTCATATCTCATAACGTGACAAATCAATATTTAAATCCCTGTTAGAAAAAGTGCCCAATAGTATCTCGAATAAGATTACTTCCAATAGAAAAATACCTATGTTTTAGCCAAAAAAAAAAGGTAACTTTCAAAAGGTAGAATCACTTGGTATTATGATTAAAGTTTTTAAAAGTAATTTTGCAATTATGATTTACATAATATAAGATAAAACTGTGAGATGAGTTTAACACCTACAAGCACTCATCGTAAGTAGGTGCAAACAAGCCCATAACAACTTGAATTTGTGTTTTATCCTAAACGTCAAGAACTCAGTGGATCTGATTGAAAGGCAACAAAAGCAGATTATTTTAGTGTGGCTGCAAAAAAGAAAACAAAAACAAAAGCTCAAAAATGGTAGTCTTTCGAGATTTAAAACTAGCTTGTATAACATATTTGCAGATAACCTTTTGAGACTTGCAAGTGCCATGCATAAGAAGCTGGGCACACATTTTTACGTATTGAGAGAATCCATTTACAATAAGATTTCGAGAGTTCCAACTCACCTATAACATATTTACACTTATTATTTAGAAGCTTACAGGTAAAAATACGCCAGAATCTGAACTTTGGTTTTTATATTTACAACTTGGCTCAAACAATGATAGCTGCAGCCACCAGCCATAGCAACTTCGACAATCAATGATGGTGGCTCCGACCGCAGCAATAGAGATGGAAAGAGGGTGCTTTAAATTTAAATTCTACCATAAGCACCATAGGACTTGAATAATATTTCCCTCATTTAAAAAAATAAAGAGCTAAATGTGCAAACCTACTCATAAATTATTTTTTTTAATTTGCATTCGATACCATAAAATTTTCTAAGATATAACCATACATGTGAGTATTCTCAAATAAAGCAAAAACATTATGTCTGTTAAATATAGTTAATATTAGTTACTTTTTGATATCTGAACACCAAATTTGCTTCGCCGCACTAAAACAAAAGACATTAGATATAGATAACAAATATGATATTTTTGTTCCATTTGAAAATGTTCATATATATTGTTAAATCCAAAAAAATTTTATAATATTATATGCGCATGAGAAAAATACCTGGTGAGTATATTTAGACCTTAATCCAAAAAATGAATTATCATTATTTACATTTCTCCTCCTTGAAAGCGATTAAGGGGGCACCATTTATGACATGGGGGAGTCCACTGTGAAGCTGCTGAAGAATAATTGGCTCGGTAGGAGAGGACCATTGAAGTGGTAACTTGTGTCTGTGGCTGGTCTCCATCAATCTATCTGGTAAAGGATCCTCACAGATTCAGTTGCTCCATACTCATTAATGTTCCCATTTTGTCATTTAACTCCCTCCTCACATCCTCCCATTCCGCCCCCCGTTTTTGTACTCTAGCATTCATCTGGGAGAGATCCTCACCAATTCTTTCCAATCATACCCTCACCCCTCCTACATACAAGTTTCTCCTAATTAAACAAGTTACTTATTCGTAATTAATATGTAGATAATTTGGAATAATACCCTAAAAATAAATATATCATTGAATGATTAAAATTTAATGCATAGTTTTTTTTTTGGGCAGCACAAACAAATAAATCATACATCTAAGATAAGGGACAGAACACATCTGGGGGCAGTGGGGACGAAGGGAATTAAAGAAGCAATGGAAATGAAAAGGAGAGGGGGGAAGAAGGTGTCAGTAGATGGTTAGTCAGAAAGCGGTAAAACAAAAGGGGAGAAAAAAAAGTTTGGAGATTTGATTGGGAATTAGGCACCCAAAAGCCAAAAGATGCAGAAATGGTTCCAGATAAGCCTTGCTTAGCCAACCAAATTTCAAGGCTTAAACCTAAATACAGTTAGATTTAGGGTTGTAGGGAATGGTACGAGGTGCTCCCACAGATACCAGAACAGTGAGCAACAACATCATAGGCATTTACGCCTACGTGGGGTCCCGGATCCTAAGAAGATCTCAACACTCCCCCTCCCTTCTCTTTATCCAACCCTATTCCCTTTCCTGTCAATGTCACTCTTACTTAAATTATTATTATACTCCTATTTGCATTCATAGGTCTCCCCTGCTTTATATCTGTTTTCATATTACCCTAAAAAATCCGCCTAACTGACTAACTCCTGTTGTTTGTGTAGCAAATCTTAAGAAATGGATTGTTTAATTGGCTTTTAAGATCAATTTATTTTTTAAAAAAATAAAATTATTGAAAAAATCAAAAAGTGACATTTAAACGTAAATAATTGGATAGATGGTCTGTCTTTTTCCCGGGGTCTGGACCCCATGCCCATCATATCTCGATCTAGCATCTACCTATTGATTATTGCATAATTATAAAATTATTACAACTTGCCATTTCTATGCCCTCCAGCGGCTTCCTCCCTCTTGTCACTCTGCTTGTATCAGGCATGCACCGTAATTGCCCTTCTCGTTAATATCCTTTTTTTTTTCTTAGCGTCGAGGGGTTAAATTTCATCAATCGCTCTTAAGTATTTTTTTTATGTGTCTAAGATTTTAAAATATTTTGTGATGCATCCAATATTTTAAAATATTTTTCAGGTATGTCCAGCATACTGAAGTATTTTTTTTGAAGTTTTGGCAGTGGATGCATCAGAAAATGATTCAAGGCACTAAACATACGTAAAAAAAAATACTTTATTGTAATAAATATATCACAAAATATTTTAGGCTAATGGATGCGTTTGAAAAAATATTTCGATGTGTTGGATGCACTTTAATCCTTATGTCTAATCACATTTAATTCAATGTCTGTAGCATTTCATATAGGGTTTTAGTATGAAAAAACAAGAATTAAAAAAATCAAATTTTATATATAGAAAATTGATATATTGTATAATTTATATTAAAGATTAAGAGTTCAATATTTGAAATTTATTTAATTTTATAGTTATTTGACACTAACTTTTAAATTTACTTTCAGTTATTCAAATTTCTATAGTTTCCTTGTTTTTATTCTGAAAATTGAGTATTACTTTTTCATGTTCTTCAATAAACTATTTTTGAGTGTTTAAAACAATACTTTTTAATTTTGTTAAAAAAAAAGGAGGAGAGCGAGAGCCACTCACGGGAGAAATGGGGCGTTGGGAACACGTGAGGGGGAGGGGTGTTGACTTGAGGGAAGTTAAAAAGAGGAAAAGATCTGGCATGATCTTTTTCGAACATGAGTTTGCACGGATGCGATCTCATGGAAGGGAATCTGGAGAATCCCGACCGTTGGAATGGGGAGCACGATATGATCTTGTGATCTAACAGATGTGAGCCTTTGTCTCTCTAAAGCTCTTAATGATCATCTTAATCATATTTGCATAGTACACTCGCGTGCGCGTGAACAGTGAATCATGTACGTCCTTGTTCCGTCCTGCTCCTCCATCTTTCCTCCCCAACGCGTCGTTCGCTTTTTTCACCTTTTTATTTTATACTCCCTCCGTTTCTTATTATAAGAGACAAATAACTAAATTACGTTAATAAAAAAAGTAGTTAAAATTAGTTAAGAACAATCAATGTGTAAAAAGTATAATTTTTTTCTCAAAAATGCCCTCATTAATAAGGAGAGAGGGTATGAGAGAATAATTAAATTATTAAAAGAAAGAGAAGTGGGAGGGGGAGAGAGTGTGAATTGGAGATAAAATAAATATGGATAAAATAGAAAATCAACAAAAAAAAATAGAGACAACTTTTAAGTGTCTCTTATATATAAAAACATGCCATGTGTATTAAATGTCTCTTATAATAAGAAACGAAAGGAGTACCTTTCGGCGACATCTCCCCCCCCAAACATTAAAAAAAAAAAAAAGGTGCACAGGATTAAGCAACGCTCAGCAGTATCCTTCTAATGAAATTTGGTTAAAAGCCGCTGCATATAAATTTTCACTCATAAGCAAAATTTGTTTGGTGCGGGCATAGTTTGTTTGGCGCGAACTTGCTCTAAAAATTTAAAATTATAATAACATTATCCACTAATAACTGTTAATATTTTTAATTAAACTAATATTATTACAATTTTAAACTTTCAGAATAAATCTGTATGGGAAACACTTTCAGATGCTCAGTATTTCTAGATGCTAAAATAATCTTATGGGGTATTTGGATGAAACTAAACCATAATGATTTTATGTTATACAAAGTAAGTATATAGAGAAATTTGTTTCAATTTATAAAAAATTATTTTCAAAAAGCACTTTTAGAGATATCCAAACACTCCCTTAACCCAATTAGCTAAAGTGACCCTTTATAGTTCATTTTCAATGAGTGCTACTCTTTTTAAGTTTTATACACCATATTTTTAACTATATACAAAAACCCTTTAGTGCAAAAATCATTTACATGTGGCTTAAAATATGTTGTTCATGATTGAAGAATAGTTGCATTTGCATAGAATAATTTGCACCCACCTAAATTCAAGTATTTTTTTAATTAATAAAATTTTAAAATAGCTATTTTTAACCAAATATTAGTAACTACTACCTTCGGTCCTAATTATAAGAGCCTGTTGACTAGTTTGAAGAGATTAAGAAAATAAGTTGAGTTAATTATTTGTCCTAAATAGGTATTATTTTTCTTAAAATATCCTTACTAATCAAGTGTATTGACTAGAATTATAATTATTAGAATGACTATTTTAAAAAAAAATTGAATAAATATAAAAAACAAAGTAAATTAGGATTTTATATTTAAGATTAAAATAAAAATTAAATAGAAACTTATATTAATAAACGGAGGTAGTAACTTCTACGCTGCCTTTGATGACATGAACGCATCACGTCATTGGACGTCTGGCATGCACCACCAACCAGCCATTGCTAGCATATTCCCCACAAAATCCTTGTAACAATCTTCATTACAAGACAATTTCCATGGTTCTAGTTTCTAAATTTAAGATTATTTGTTTGAAACCCTGTTTTTCTTCCTAAACATCTTTAATATTTTCAAACTAAGTAATATCCTAACCAGCTATACAATCTCTAAGTAATTAATTTCATTAAAGGATAATTTAAAATTTTAAAAGTGTTAACTAATTTTAAATGTGTACAGAATAAAAAAAAAAAAAAAAGTTCAAATCTCGAGCACTTGTTGTGAGCTATACCAAAAAAAAAAGGTAATTGGCACACTTAGAATTAAATTAATTAAACTCCTTGTATTAAAAAACATCTATCAAGTTCATTAGAAAACGAAAGACCTCAGTACAAATTCAAGTAAGGCATTCAAACGTAAATTCACCAAACTCAATCATTTATCTTTTTTTTTTTTTTAACTTAAAACCGTCTCATATAAGAAGTTGTCAACAAATTTAATATTCCTCTGGTCTTTAATATAACATATATAAATATTTAACTAATTTGATTATATTAAGAAAAATAACTAAGTTAGTTAATTATAATAAATATAAAATATTTTTCTAAAGTATCATAATCACTTTTCTTGATAAATATGTTTTATATTTATGATTAAAATCAGCCCAATAATTAAGTCATCTATTAAGAATGGAAGGAGGAATATAGATATTTGGCAACAAATAATGATTTAAATCGGTGACAAAAAAAAAGAGGCTTAAACCAATGGGCATTCCTCTATCTCCCTCAAATCCAACTTACATAAAAGGCTTTACTAAAAAATTTATGCAAAAGACAAAACTGAGCGATTATTTTTTTTTGGCCGAAAAACTAACCGATTATTTAACACACACAATAAAATTGTAAAGTGATGATGATGACTACTTACATCATTTTGAAGTTTTAAGGTAAAAGATATATTTTTCTCAACACAATCAATCATGCTAATATTTTTCCGGCTATAAATATAAAATTCTTATACACAATAATATAAAAGTATTATATCTAAAAGCGAAGGAGTATTTATACTGAAACAACTGTCATTTAGGAAGTCAATGGGGCTGCTTAAATATGTACAGCCGTTGTTTAGTTCATAAACATCATTATCCACTAATCCATCACAAAATAACAGATAAGCCGAGATTAGGAAGCAAGGGACAAATGGGTCAGCACCCTAATCAGAATCCTAAGATTTTCAAACAGAACATTCTGTTTTCAATCATTATTTTTTTCCTCTGAAATGCCATTTTCAATCATCGTCGTGTGATACACGCGTCCCAAAATCGCGTCATTCCACCCCCCAATATCTTCACACAGTGCCCTGTTTCGCTCAACATAAATACATACATAGACTCAGACAAGTAGCCCATATATATTTTAAGCCAACCCAAACCAAACCCGTCGTAATTACTCGCATAGAAAACTGAGAGGGAAAAACCGAAAGATAGTCCCGAGCTTTTCCAGCTTCTTCTTGAAACGAACAGTGGGGTTACAGAACCAAAACATAACTGCGGGGGAAAAAAATGTTTGCTGAAGAGAATGGTCTGAAGGGAGACCCCAGGTTGCGAGCCATCTCGGAAGCCATTAGAGTGGTGCCTCACTTCCCAAAACAAGGTTTTTTATTTTTTAAATGATGTTTTGCTCAGTCTCTGTTACCTCTGTTGCCATTTTTTTAATGTCCCTTTCACTTGGCCTTGTTCTGTTTTTTTTATCTTCTTGTTGCAGTTTCTTTTGAACTTTTATCGAACAGATCTGGAGGTATTACATATGGGCTTTGTTTTGTTTTTTTTTAAATGGAATTTGCAGGAATCATGTTTCAAGATATAACGACATTGTTGTTGAATCACAAAGTCTTCAAAGACACCGTTGATATTTTTGTCGATCGTTACAGAGACATGGATATTTCCGCTGTTGCCGGTATCGTACTCTATATTGAGCTTCTCCTCTATTATATTCATACTTTTTGGACAAAGAGAAAACATATGTTTTGTAAGGTTTCAAAGGTTTGCAAACAAATCTTGTGGCATATTGGTATTTTGCTGCTGCAGGAGCCAAGGTTGTCATTGTCTTTAATAATTTGCCTTCTTTCGTCTTTGTCCCGTCACTGGATGTTTCTGCCTTCTTCGTCCCAAAGTTATTTTTTGAATGCTCTAAATTTCTCATATCCATCTCCAGCTTTTGTTTAAAGAAGATTCGCCTGCTTGTTTATTAAGGATAACTCTTTCATCTCAGTTCATTTTTATGCATATTTCCTTACACCGGCAATCAGACATCCTCTTCCCTTTAATATTATATTCTCCTACTTTAAAAATATCCTGGCCTTCGTTTTAATTGCCTTGGCCTTTGTGTCTCTTTTCTAAGCAAGGCTCAGAATATTTTGGTGCGAGTAAATAGTGACTTTTTTGTCGTGCTTTTCGAAAGACTTATTTGGGAGGATATTTTGACCTTGAATATAGTTTCCTTGTCCTGGCATGCAAGGCACATGCCTCGAATACAAAATGAACTTAGACATGAGTATGCTATTCTAAACATCAAGTATCCCTCTTTTGGATCCAATGGAGCACTTAAGCTTGGCATTGAATTTGGGTTTCATGAAGATTTGTATGTAATCGACGCTCAAGAGAGTCTCAATCACTGTTATTCAATACAGCCTCTTTGGTGCTACCATATGTTGCCTCTGGTTTATGTTCTCATGGTACCGCAACTTGGATTGTATGTAGGAGTGGAAGCTCGAGGATTTATGTTTGGGCCGGCAATTGCTCTAGGCATTGGTGCAAAATTTATTCCGTTACGCAAACCAAGAAAGCTGCCAGGTAGACCTATTTAATTTTGAAAACAAACTTAGTCACCATGTGTTGTGTTACTTCAACTTAATTACATTAGTCTGAGTTGAGATATCAAAACTGTGGTCAAAACAGTACTGCTACTTCCCCTCACTGTGGGTTAGAATGGTCTCATCTGAGTAGAAAGGCCTTGCCTTTATTAATGACTGACGTCAAAAGTCCATTGGATTTGACAACTATATGATATTCAATTTCAAAGAAAATGCTTTAAACTTTTGACAGTATTCAGTTGCAGTGGTATATGCTCGTAGCTCTATTCATGTAAACTGGTCGTCCTTGATGTTTCCACTGGGTCTTCAGATATATGCCTAAACTATGACATGCTTCAAATACAGGTGAAGTCATATCAGAAAAATATGTTCTTGAATATGGGACCGATTGTTTGGAGATGCATGTTGGGGCCGTACAGCCCGGGGAACGGGCCTTGGTAATTGATGATTTGGTGGCTACTGGTGGAACTCTATCAGCTGCAATAAGACTACTAGGTAATTAATTTGCTTTATGGTTTGGTATATATTATCTTCTCTCGCTTCTTCAATTCACTCATCATAGTTCTTTGTAGTTTCTAGAATGATTTATGGTTTTTCAACCTCTTTTTTGTAGAACGTGTTGGTGCTGAAGTAGTTGAATGTGCTTGTGTGGTTGGTGTGCCTGAGGTTAAGGTAATGCCAAAAACTTTTGCAAGTTGTGTTTGTCTCACAAGTTAGCTCAATTTTCTCTCTTAGTGGTAGAGTCTATTATTGACTGTGAAAATTACCGGACATGTCAAAGGGCGATTGGTTTATGGAACGATGGACGGCAGTATCATGACCTTTCTTATCTGATATGATGTTAATGAGTTTATATGTCTCAGGCTGTAGTTTTTTCTTTATCCCAGATAATGACTGTTTTCATTTTATCCAAATCCTAATGCTGGTGAAAGTGACATTTAAGATAGCTTCTTTTCAGTACGCTGGAGGCTTAATGGAAGCCACTTGTGTATTTTGCTGTCATTGAGTCTGTCATCTTCCGTGTTGTAATTTCATTAAAGTGATGTAGTGGGAAACAATCCTGTGTTATGTCTTTGAATTTCGTGGAAGTGAAGTTTAAAGAAACAAGTCTATCTTTCAGGGACATCGTAGGCTTAATGGAAAGCCACTGTATGTTCTTGTGGAGCCACGTCAAATCGATAATGGATTTTAAGGTACGCCAAAACATCGAAAGAAATTCGAGCACTGTGTTGAATAGTCATTTGGAAAGTACAGAAAGTCTGCATTTTTGCTATAATTTAGAGACAATTATCATGTTAAATGCCCATTAAGTAATTTATAGCGTTGATGCAGATGGATAGGTGATTTGTACGGTGCTTGGGCTGCTGGCAAAGGAGAAGCGTGATGATTGTTGCAGTAACAAAGGCCATGAACTGCGGTGAACAGTCAGCAGATGAGAGTTGTTTCGGCTCGGAGGTTGTAATTTATCGATGGAAAATGTCTCTAATTTCTTGTAGGTTGTCGTCTATGGCTGACAATTTCAAACAATCATTCTTAAATGCATGCGATTTTTCTTAAATCAGCACGCACACTCGGGCTAGATTCCAAAATTTCTGCCCCAACTTCAAAACGACGCGGTTTGCGATTGAGACGAGATCTGGGCCGTTTGGAGTAGTGATTCACACGAAGGGTGATAAGCGTATACACATTGCAACGACGTCGTTTTAAACACTAAAATCTGACCGCCCATTCTGCCAATCAATCTTGGCCGCCCATGCCATTTTATTTTTTTCCCATTCGTCATTCTCTCAAGGGATTGACGTGGTAGCGCGCGGGAAAAGCATCATTTGCCTTCAAAGAGAGTGATGAGTTTCGTAAGAGATGAAATCCTCGGGGAAGGGAAAAGAAGATTGTTGAAATTCGAGAGATTAATGGGTAAAAATTTCTTCATATATTCTCTAGTGAGGAAGGAGGGGCTCGAAGAATTTTAGGGAAGACAGCAAGTCTATAACTGGGAAGAAATTGACTATTTTGGTAAAGATTAGGGAAATAGAGGGGAGGGGAAGAGAAATTTTAATGAGTTGTATTTAAAATCTTACAAAAATGGGGTTTTGAAATTTTAATAAAGAGAAGAAGTAATATAAAAAAAAAAATCAATTAGAAACTTTTAACTTTACTTTTTTTAAAATTTTTAAATTGATTTTATTAAAATTTTTCTTCTTTTTTCCTCATACCAGACGAACCCTTCTGTGGGGTTTTGTAGAAAAAAAATCTGGCTGCAAATAGATGGACTGCCATTATGTGTTGAATGGCATGGCCTGGGCTTTATCAAAGTCGCCACTAGTTTTGTCATCTTGGGCAGCCCAATTTTCTAGTCAGTCTCATTTAATTTATACACTTTGTCTTGGAAATAACAGCCAGATCCGTTATGTATAAACGGCCGTCCCACTTTGAACAACTTATTTTACTGAATTGCAAGTTTATTCTTCGCATGAAATTTAAAATGATTTATATTACTGGTTGAGATGCTAGTTCTTTATAACGTCATGAATCACGATTCAAATCTCCACCGAGCGAGGTGTCCATATTTCACTTCCATTAGGAGATACTTGTACTTATAACAAAAACGATTTATATTGCTCATAACTTGATAAGTAGTGTCTATACACACACACATTATAAATTTTAATCAGATTAGATATTTGTTAGAGTCATGTAGGCTTGTAGTGCAATTGCCACCAAGCACTTTTCTTAAAACTTTTTGAGCGTGAGGTTGTGAGTTTTAAACCCTCATAAAAAATACTACCTCCGGTCTTAATTATAAGAGCTGGTTGACTAATTTGAGGAGATTAAGAAAAGAGGTTAAGTTAGTTATTTGTAATAAATAGGCGTTGTCTTTCCTAAAATATCCTTGCTGATTAAATGTGTTGGCTAGAATTATTATTGTTAGAAGGACTATTTTGGGAAAAAATGTGTAAATATGAGAAACAAAATGGACTAGGATCTTATATTTAGGACCAAAATAAAAGTCAAACAAGGTATGATATTAAGGATTTGAGGTAGTATAAGCATGTAAGTTATAAAAATAAAGTTTTTTCACCGAAAATAAATAGGATATTTATCTCATACATTGGTGCATCTTTTCTTATTTAGGTGGCAATGAAAGAATTCTATTTTGGAAAAACGTAATTCAGAAGAAATCGGGGTTATGCATTTATTGCGCGAAAACATGCAATGCTTGGTCTTGGCCAATCACTACCTTAGCTTGCCCTCTAAACCTCCATATAATACTGGCTCTTTTTTTTAAAAGAAATAAGGTAATTATTGCAGTGTTATTCATTCTTTGAGAAGCTATAAAAGAACACTGGTCCATGGGCTTAAAAAAAATTTAATTTATCTGAGGTCAGAGCTACACAAGTATTGCGTGAAGAGAGTCTCACAACGTTGGCTTGCATGTGAACCCCTTTTTCCCTTTTATAATGCAATGGAGAAAGGCATTAACCATATAAAGGACCAGCACAGGTCTAGAGAGAGCAGTTCTTTACAGTCTTGAGGAGGGTCTTTAAAAACCATTAAACCTATCTCTACGCTTTTAGCAAATTAAGCGGTCCAAGTGACTTCTCAATCTCGTTCCCTGTATGAAAGACAGTGGTTTATTTACAAACTGTGGCATAAGAAAGCTAATATAAATTCGAATTCGGGAATGCATATTTGTTGGGAAGATTTTAACGTTAACACTCCCGATTCAATACAGAGTAGTTTTAGATTTAAAGTGATTTGATAATACTCAGAGAAACCCCAAAAAAAAAAGTTACAGGGCGATTTCCATCATGAACATTTTAAGTTGTCTTGCAGGGCCTTGGTGAAATTTGTGCGCGACTGAGCCTTTTTGAAGCCTTGAATCCAACGAAACTTCAAGCCCTCCGAAATGTCTTAGAGTTCAGCCTTAGTGCTTGAAATGTTACCCAGTTCTTTTCACGTGAGCCTTCATATATTAGCTTACATATATTCTTCCTCATGCTACTTTTGATATTAAATATAAGAGTTAATTAGGATATTAAATTTGATCATAAGTATAAAATCTCAATTCATTTCGTCTTCTAAATATATAATAGTTTATTTAAAATATCTTTATTGATTGTAAAGAGTTCTTACTAAGAAATAGTTTTAATAAACGTGATTAAATAGAGTAATTTATGAAAGTTAATACAAATTTATTATAATTTAACTTTTTTTTAATCTTTTCAAAATAGTTATTTAACTTTTATATTAAAGAATGAATGTAGTGCCGCGTTTGTTTCGTTTCACCCCCCTAAAGAGGTATACTTTTTCTTTTTGTACATTTAAAAAGCCAAAAAGGGGTAGTATTAATTATTACTTTATTATAGATAACTGTAACGAAAACAAAATTTTGTAGGGCGAGAAAGTTATCAAGAGTTGCATATGTACTGTGTGAATAGACGGATTTCAAAACCAAGCTTTCGGCCTAGCTAAACCATAGGCTCAAAAGCAGCGAGGGTCCAAAACCTAAATCATGGTTTTCTCCAAAACCTCTTTTAATCCAAGCATGTAGCCTCACGCTGCCTTTCAAACTCGTGAGATTTTTTTCCCTCACCTCACGCTGCCTTTCAAACTCATATGAGATTTTTTCCCCCCACCTTCTTGGCTTCTTGGCTAGATCAAACTTCAATTTTTTTTCTCTCCTGGTTCTAAATTTCTCAAAGCTAAAAGGTCTTATTTTGTCAATTACGCCGGCATTGAATTCTTATTGTACAGCGTTCTTCTTTTATATATTACATTTTTGTAAAGTGAAACGACACAGACAGAGGAACGAGTCATTCTGGTGGTCCAAAATCCAACAAAATACTAAACCACGATCTGTTTTTGATGAGGCGATGGAGTTTGTTTTAGAATGAATGGCATCCTGACGTCAGTTTGACGATCGACCTAAGCCCAAGAATCTCGTCCAACCTCATCCTGACACTTCCTCTCTGCTGCCTGTGCTGGATTCCACTCTTTTACTGCCCATCTCTCAATTCCTCAATTCATTTATTCAAATTCTAAATAACCCTCTATTTTTCCTCGTTTTGGGGAGGATAAGAAACCGATTGTCTTCCCAAAGTTACCAGCTTTTCAAGCAAATCATGACCACGTAAGGGGATGTTCCTGTCTTTCTGAAGCCATGGCTCCAGATTGTCAACACCAACCATTCGCAGCTGCGAGGCTAATATTGAGATTTGATATGATAATCATCGCTATACACATATATGTTTCTCGCTTCCCTTATCGTTTTCAGTGTGGCAAGAGATATTCGGTCTGTCGGTCTTTCCCTGTTTACGATAGGCCCCATTACCAGCAGCCTCCAAAAACTTGACACAGAGAGAGAGAGAGAGAGAGCTCTGTCTTTCCTTTTTTCTTTTTGAGGATTGCGATCTTGATAAGAAACCAGTCGCAGGACAGAGACCACACATGTGTGTTGGCGTTGAGCCCAATTAGTACCTCACAATTGGTGCTACCTTAGCTTGCCTGTCACGAGCAGCCTGCTGGCATTATAGAAAAAAAGAAACCATGCATGTGTGTGCCCTCGTGGAGGGATGGCCGGCTGTTTCTTCTCTGGACCATTATTAATATTTCTCCATTTTCATAAGGAAAAGGAAAAAAAAACTACTCTCCAACTCGTAAGTTAGGTTTATTATATTCTTTAAGAGAGACGAGGGATCAATGGCGAAGAGGAGAGCAATGTCCTCCAAGCCTGCTTTTACGTACTTGCGGGTTCACAAGGAGCAGAAAGGTAATTAATCACTTACCACTGGCCAATTCAATTCCGAAAGATCCCTTCAATAAGAAAACGAACATTATTCCTATTCAAAGAACAAACACATAGAGTTCATGTAATAGCCAAAAGATCTGGCTTCTTCCGATGATATGTAGATTGCCACCGGATCAAACCAGATTCTCTAATCTGCACATATATATGCAGCGATCTTTACGAGAGATGAAAATGAAATGTTCGTTAGTTCATTAGCTTTATGTGATGCTATCTATCAAAGAAGGAAATGATTTCATATAAAAGGGAAACGACTGCACAGAGTAAATACAGAAGACACACATATATGCTGATATATGCTTAGAGGGTGGGAAGCGATTCGAAGACGATACAGATCATCCCGGTAATTTTCCACAACATTCCTGAACTGTTCGTGACGAGAATTCGGTGTTGCATAAGGCGATTGCAGAATCCTTAAGCGTTGTAAAACAGTTCAAGAAAGCTGTGGAAGATCACAGAGAAGACCATTTATGAAGCAGAAAAAAATCATCTTCTTCTAAGCCTGCTCATCACCACCTTGTAAGAAAACGAGAGAGAAAGAGAGGTGGGGGAAGGGGACTATATGGGCGACCGTGGATTGATGAATTCTTGAGGTGGCTTACTTATGTATATATAGTCAAAAGATCTAGCTGTTGCGACCTTAATGATGACGATAGGTGGGCCTAGCGTAAAGTTTTCGGAGATTCTAACAAACTCTACGTGAAATATGCTTGATAATGTTCCTTTCATGATTATTTTACCTATTTACTTCTTTAATAATTTGCATGGCCCATGATAATTAAGGCTTATGTGATGACGGGCATGAGTTTAAAAGAGAACTCAATCTTAAAAAACTAACCTATTAAAATTTAGGGGTTTTTTGAATTTATAAACCCTACAATATTTATGAAACTCCTTAACATAAGACTCATAATAGCTCCTTTATTATCTCACTTGACCTCTTTGCTAATACTACCTCCGGTCCTAATTATAAGAGCCAGTTGACTAATTTGAGGAGATTAAGAAGTAAGTTGAGTTAGTTATTTGTTCTAAATACGTGTTGTTTTTCCTAAAATATCCTTACTAATAAAGTGTAATAACTATAACTATAATTATTAGAAGGATTATCTTGAAAAAAATTGAGTAAATATAAGAGAAAAAGTGAATTGGGGTTTTATATTTAGAACCAAAATAAAAGTCAAATAGGATCTTATATTAAAACCGGAGGTAGTATTACTTTTAACCTTCGATTCGAATATTAATCAAAACAATTTTTTAAAGAAAAAAGTGTCCTTACACATGAATAAAAGAAATAGTGAAGAGGATATCCGCACATTAACATTTGGCTACATTATTAATTATTACTAGTAGTATAGAGTTCTGATGCCATAAAATACATGTCATATATTGTATGAGGTACGTATATTAATTTAAAAAATATATATTATATATGTATTGCTTAATAAATTTGTTTTATGAATGCTGCTCATTAATAGATGAAAGACGCAAAAAAAAAAAATTCGTGTTAAAAAGTAAACCACTTACTGGGGACAAATTAATTGCAATTTGGAAAATATTTAAAAGTTAACCATTTTTAATACTGGTATTATGAGGCACTCATTTATGATTTATGCTTAAAATACGGGGCAGCGAAAAAAATTAAAAAAAAAAAAACAGAGAGAAAGGTTATTCACAGTTTCACACATGAAAAACAAGACAAGTGTCGGTTAACTTTTTTTCTTTTTTAGCAAAAAGTGTCAGTTCAGAGTTTGAAGTCGCACTTTAGCGGCCGTTTCCAACAAACTCAACGGTGTTTTCTCCGTTTTCTAACTAAAACAGTGGAAACGGGCTGTTCAACGACCGTTTTCTAGTAGACTGTCAAATATATGACGTGGTTCTAACAATCTCAACGGAATTCTCGATCTTCGAAACGAAAACCACCGGGGGGCGCATGAAGAGTTTGACGCATATCGTGAACAAAAAAGGCAGAATTACTTCCAATAACTCCCCACAAGCAATCTTATTGCTCTAAAGTCCCTTAATAAAGTGAAATTTTACAGCAGTTCCAAAGTCCTTAATTAATTATAAATAATTTTTAAAGTGCACTTGTATAAAAAGAAAAATTGAAAAAAAAAATATCTCCATCCACCATGGAGCTTGGCATTAGTGCTGTTGAACCTTCATTATATTGTCGATATCAAGAGTTATAATGGCAACGAGTGAAATGTTTCAAGAGGAAACCAGTTTAATACTCATCCTTTGATGGGTATTTTAAACTCATCAGATCTGAATCGTTTATATATGATTTGAACGGTCTAGATTTAAAATATTTACTTAATTATTTTTAAATAAAAAATTATTTTTTTAAAAAAATAACAGTTAAGATATTATCTCCATTTTAAATTCTAAACATATTAAAATAATTATTTTAAATAAATAAAATAAAAAAGAAACCAAATCCGAATAATTCAAATGAGACATGAACGATCTAGATCTGATAAGTTTAAGGTACTCATAACTTTGATGAGTACCGAAACTAGTTCGGTTTTCAAAGTGATTAAGGTGAAACTTAACTAAACATGTGATATTAGTTTATAATTAAACAGGTTATGGTCATTGACCATTAATGTCTTTTGATATCATAATACAAAATATTAGATGTGTTCATAAACTTAATTAGAGTCTAAAAAGTAAGATCATTTACAGATCCTGCGAATAATTTTAAAGGAGTGGCTATACATTTGTTATAATAAAGTTGTTAATTCCATAATAATAATAGCGGACGTTATAGTAAATTTGCTATAACGTATCTAGCCAAAAAAGACTGCTGTAATGTAATAATGAATTTGTTAGAATGATGTTATTGAGTCGAATATAATAGTCTGTTTGTGAATGAGGGAGCTATGTGCTCAGTTGCCGAAAACAAAAGAAGTTTTTTTTTTCTTTTTGGTGGGAGTTGAATAACGTAACAAAGGATATGCTTCTCCAAGGCTCCGCGACAAGTTTTTTTTTTAATTATTTAGAAATTAATTTCATGATCTTGTAATCTTTAATTATTAATTTCTTATCCTTCTTAATTCAGTTAACATGACCTAATTTTTCAAATAAAAGCTGAAGTAAGGCAAGTTACAATTCTGTCAAACACACGTAAATATTCTTTTAGCGGGGAAAGCCAGCGCTTATTTGTGCTCATATAAGTATTATAAAAGTATCAATTATAAATATCTAATTAATCAAATTATATGCCAACTAGCTAGAGTAAGTTTTTTTTTTTTATTGCCGGATAGAGAAAGTATTTATATTGTAGCTCAATACCAATATATTTATATATATGATATACTTGTTGTTCTAATCAGTTATTGTCAAATGGACGATTTTTTTTTTTGGCCAAAGTCAAAAGAACGAATTGATGAAAGCATGATTCCTTAAAGTCTGTACCTCTTGTACGTTGCAGGGCATGGTCTTCCAAATATCCGAGACATCGATACGCATACCAGCTAAATCTTAATGGAAAAAGCATGAAGAAAGATTTGAAGTCCATATAATAATAATAACAATATCGAGGGCTACTACTGATGAAACAAATAAAAGACATATATATCATATTCAGCTAGAAATGACGATTGGAGGGTACAAATCAAGGCCAACAGGCTCGCCCGATATAACTTAAGACAAACAATAAGATACTTTCACAAATAGCAACAACATGAGTATAAACAGAGACACACAAACGAAGTTCGGATTTTTTTTCCCCTTTTAAGCGTGAAAATGACTAATTTTAAATAAATTCTGATCATATAATTAACAAATCGACGTGAAGCATTTAAATTTCATATTCAATATCGAAGATAATGATTTTTAACGAATTTTAGTCATTCATGTTAGTTAATTAACATGTAAATGACCAAAATTTACTCAAAATAGTCTTCACTTTCACGCTTAAAACTGTGAGAGCTAGCAGGCAGGCACGAGCGAGTTTTTAAATTAAAACACACAATACACAGACACAAACCTCTATAGAGCGGACAAAACAGTAGCTGACCTACGTACGTGCGATGATCTTCTTCCTATTCTAAGGACATTGGAAACCAGGAGGAACCGTTTTCTGACAAGCACTAAGGATTAAGCTGAGAGCGACTGGGACATTCAAGTTGATTCCAAGCAAGTTGGCCTTAATCACTGTGCACAGACAAAGCGCTGCTTCCAAGTCCACCAATCCATCCAGCAATGCACAACATTTCTCCGACAAAGGAGTTCCGACCACAACGTGAACCAGTCCCAGAACGTCCGCACACAGCGACAGCTTCAGCGTATCCTTGGGGCATTTATCCATCATCGCTGGCGTCGGCGGTGTCGGAGAGGGCGGCGGTGTCGGAGAGGGCTTTGGGGTTGGCGGTGTCGGAGTGGGCTTCGGTGTCGGGCACGGAGGCTTGTTGTGGGCATTGGTGAATGTTGAGTGGGCAAGGAGAGAGAGGACGAAAATGATTGCGCAGAGCTTGGGGGAAGCCATTGTTGTTGGGAACAATGGTGCAAAGTACAAGATTTGGTTTGGATTATGGGAAGGAGAAAGGCAAAGGGTGGTCCGTTTATAAAGACAAATTGTTAGGTTACTGATATGGGAATCTGAATTTGAGTGGAAGAGAGCGAAGGACATGATATAACTGATAACGTTCCAGTTGTACTTTTTTGTATGCTTGTGACATTAAAGAAATAGGCACCCTAGCCTTTTTTGATTGCTCATAGATCTTCCTCCCGAAAATTTCTTCACCTCTTCTTCATACTTCTATAACAGAAATAAATGAAAACAAGTAAATAAGCGAATTAAATGTGCCTGTTTTTTTTTATACGTTCATATCTCTCAAGTCGTGTAAAATAATTGTGGACAGGATTTACATTCTAACACTCACAGGTTCACATTCCTCGGGAAGTGATAACCCTCACAAGGCTCATCCTTCTCAGAGGAACCGGTGATCACATTTGCAGATTAGTGTACAGCTCTCAGGAAAACGGCAGCTTTGGCTTATATGCTTCTTCCATATGCAGAGAAGTTAAAAACGCAGGAACTACTGCAACGTAAAATTTAAAATATATAACAGGAAAAATTGTCATATATACCTTATTAGTGTGTTTTTGGATAGAGTGCATATGGATATAGTTAAAATTGTTAGCTAGGATTGAATTTGATAAGATCTACCCGTGTCCCCATTATGGATAGAGCTATCCAAGAAGAGTTGGAGAAGCAAAGGGAATTCCGAAAATTAAGCAAAGCAAACCAGTAATTATCAGAACAGCAAGGAAGCGCTATAAATTAAAGATGAAGCGACGTGCTTTAAAATAGTTTTGTCCTGTTTGATATGTCCGCGTAAATTGGAGAAGTTTTGTATGAATCATTGAGATGAGTAAGGCACATGCATTGGGGGGGCACATGGAAGAATGCTTGTAAGTATACATGATCTGTCGCTTCGAGGCTGGCTGTGACCAAAGAGGTCAGCATCCGTGGGAGGTGATGGAACCCTCACCTTTTTTCCGATGGAAAGTGATCTCTCATTACCATTTAAATCAGCCACGTTTTGTGTTCAAACCCTTCGTCTTCTTCTCTTTATCTTTTCCTAATCATTAAACAAATAAAAGCTGGACTGGACTGGACTCCATGGTGTTCTCCAACCGTGAAGTTACTTGCGAGATGCTTCATCATCATACTCCAACAAATATCTGATTTCGATTGATATTTAGGGATCGAAACTGGGTTTTACTTCCGCATATGTGTACGAAGAAAATATGGATGATGTTGCCTTAAATTTAATTGGAGGATCCTTATTTGCGACAGCTACTGAAAAGGAATCCAAGAACCCAAAAGGCTCTCATAAAACCAACTAATGGGACAGTTAACGAAACAAAAGATCTTACTAGCTATTGAAGCAAGAAATATCATATTTTACTCAATTGTTGCTTGAAAATGTTTTAAGATGTGTGTGTGTTTATGTATATATACTAAGTTACTTTAGTTACTTTTATTCTCGGTACTTATAATTAAACCATATTTATAACGGTTGTAAAAAACATATTTAATTATTACTATTTTGTTACTTCTTTTAGATATCACGAGGGTCTGGATTCTTGTCGTCTAGCTCTGCTCCCTCTGCTATTTTATGATATATAATTCTTTTATGCATCATAAGATCTTGAACTTTTAATTTTTAGTTACAGCCACACCTCACCGAATCACTTAATTAGCCTAGGCTACCTACTTCTCCGGTTCTTAATATAGAACCCAATTGTTGAGTTGGTTTTGGTATTAAATATAAGATTTATTTATCATATTTATCAATTTTCTCTAAATTACCTCTATGGATACTCCCTTAACCATAATCAAGTAGAAGAGGGAGAGAGGTATTAAGAAAAATGACTATGGTGTTTTAAGAAAAACGTGTCACACTTCTTATAATTAACTAACTTACCTAACTTTCTTAATCTAATCAAATTAGTTAAATAGGTCTTATATTAAGAACCGAAGGAGTAATCTTTTTGTTTTATAAAGTGTTTTGTTATATTTGATCATATACTATATTTACCTTTGTTTTGCATTAGTTCGCTACATAATTCGTGTGCATTTAAAATTAAATCCTAAAACACTGTACTCCATTGGTTCAAAAAAGGGAAAAAAACTATATGTGTGCCTTTATTATCGTACGCTATTTAAAGGAAGGGTGAAATATATACTCCTCCGATCTTAAATATAAGACTCTTATACACACTAGTACAAAGGTCTTATATTTATGACCGGAGGAGTAGTTCAATACTAAAATCCATGATTGAATATATAAACACACATTTTATACACCCATATCTTAAATATTACCGGACGATACCGCCGAGAAATCAAGATTAATTTAGATGATGACTTCATTGCCAAGGTCAACCAAAAAGAGCCACCCGGAGATCCCAAAAATGGAAAAGAATAATTGAACCAGGGATGGCATCGTATCGGATCCACTGCCTGTCTTGTCCTTCGTTGCGGGCCATGGGTTATGGGTACTAAGTGGGGCTCTTGCGTTAAAATGCCGCCGGAGTCCACTTTCTCACTTTTTTGTAGGTACAAATATTTTCTTTTTGAAGATAATCCTATTTAATAAAATATTAAATATGAACATTTTTTTTAAAATAAATATTTAAATATTGATTTATCTAGTCTCTTTTATTAGACTTATTTCCCGCTTGTCGTTACACCTTCTATCTTCTATTGCAATAAAAAAAGTCCTCTCCCAGAAATATTACCGGCCCACCTTCTAGATTTACTGGCCCTGCCAATTCATGGCCTCAACAGTCATATTTTTCCAATGAGCGCGCGAAAACGTGGCCCTTAAACAGGGATGAGCCCTTCTTTTCTCGTAGTTTATATTACTGTTTGATCTTGATGATGCCATATTAAGCTCAAAAAGTACGGTAACATATGAGTATGAGATAAAGCTTTTTTTCCCCCCACCAAAAAACCGCTTTTTTTCAACAAAGAAATATATCTCAAGAGTATCAGGCTAGGTGGTAGCCCAGGTTTCCAAATTTGGGCCTGTGGTGTAGACGCGTAGAGCCCGAAAGTGGTCCAAGAATATCCATGGGACCAACTCTATGGCCATGCCTTTTTTTTTTTGGCCAAGATGTTCGTGCCTTTCGTACCAAAAACATCATATTCGTGCCATTTTCAGAACCACCGGATAAGAGAAAAAAAGTGACCCAACGAAGTTGCAATGTGACTTATCAAGGCCACCGTACTAATGGAGGATAAAACTCGTATTTCTAGGCATAAAATCAAAAATTTAGTAGTTGAATTCGTAATCTCACTCTCTAACGAGTAGGAAGTTAATTTATGCTGTTTACAAAGGACCCACCAATGGCAAGTTGGAAGACAGATATCGGGCCGACGAGAGCAATACCCGCTATGCTGACATGGCCGTATCTTAATAACTTAATTCCAGGGAATCGCTTGCGAATTTAGAGGATCCACGAATGGCCCAGGCCCAACACTACTGGGGCCTTGCATGCCCAATCACTAGATAAACAGACCATGCACTTTGTTTAATTTAATTTCACTAATGTTGAGTCCTTATTCCTCAACCTATTTAATTAATTTAAGTATATTAAAAAAATAGATAATCTAATTAATTATAAAAAACATGATATATTTTTCTAAAATATTTTAATTATCTTTCTTAATATCTCTTTTCTCTTAGTTGATTATGATTAACAGAGTATAAAAAGGAATAATTTAGAAAAAAAATTGATAACTATGAAAAAAAAGATCTTATATTTAGAATCAAAATCAAGTCAACAATTAAGTCATATATTATTAAAAAATACATTTTTAAGATTAAAAAGGTCAAATCTTAAAAAGTAATAGATATTATTCATCGAGCATGGCATGGATACGAATACGATGCATCTGGAACGAACCATTTTGTACCCGAAAAAAGAAAAACAACAGAACGAACCATTTCAATTACATTCGCGATACTCACATACACGCAATCCTCAGCGTTATATGTAAGCGCCATAATTTATCCAAAGCTTTGATCTGAAACCCGCCACGACAAAAATACATGAACGGTCTTGTGATGTCATCGCTGTTGATTTGTTTTAATTAATTTTTTGTGACCAAACTGCTTACTATTTATTAATTATTAATTAATAACTAGCGTGTTCTTAATTTATTATTATTAAAAACAAAAAAACAAAAGACCAACGCAGGCGCAAGATTTCTAGGATGTGCCGCCTCAGGACGAACATACAAAAGTCCAGGTGAAAAATGGCGCAAGTTTGCTACAATGCGCGCTATTTGGCCGAAGCTCCCCGTGCTGCCCTCTAGCCACGTATCAGCCCCTCTCCTCCCTCTCCTCCCTCTCCTCCTTGTCTGCCTGTTCTTGTTTCCCGTACTTGGGTTTGATCAGGAAGAACCATAAACTTGGGAAACAAACGCTGGAACAAATCTTTATGACAATGAAGCAGAGTTCATCTGAGGCTGTCCCGTCTTTTTCTTCCGTGCCCTCTTCAACTGACCAATCACAGGCTGCCACCTCATCGTTGTCCTCTTTGGCGTCTGCGGACAAGACCGGTATAGTGTCTTCGTCGGCGGCGGCGGAGGACCTGCCCATGGGTCCGAGGGATGGAGGCGGCGCCCAGGAGATGGTCACCGTCGATCGCCGGGGCGAGTACTCCGCCGTTTGTCGATGGACAGTACATAATTTCCCGAGAATAAAAGCTAGGGCACTTTGGAGCAAGTACTTCGAGGTCGGAGGCTATGATTGCCGCCTCTTAATATACCCTAAAGGTGACTCCCAGGCTTTGCCAGGTTACATCTCCATCTACCTCCAAATCATGGACCCCCGGGGCAGTTCGTCGGCCAAATGGGACTGCTTTGCAAGCTATCGTCTAGCAATTGTGAATGTAGCTGACGATTCCAAGACCATTCATAGGGACTCGTGGCACCGGTTTTCAAGTAAGAAGAAATCGCACGGGTGGTGTGATTTCACGCCTTCCTCCACTGTATTTGATCCGAAACTGGGTTATTTGTTTAATAATGATTCCGTATTGATAACGGCTGATATTCTCATTCTTAGTGAGTCTGTTAATTTCACACGAGACAACAATGAAATGCAATCATCGGCATCAACTTCATCATCCGTGATATCTTCCTCTGTGGTTGCGGGACCAGTGTCCGATGTATTGAGTGGGAAATTCACTTGGAAAGTGCATAATTTTAGTTTATTTAAGGAGATGATAAAAACACAGAAGATCATGAGCCCAGTTTTCCCCGCTGGGGAGTGTAACCTGAGGATTAGCGTGTACCAGAGCTCGGTTAATGGGGTCGAATATCTGTCAATGTGTTTGGAAAGCAAAGATACGGACAAGACAGTAGTGTTGTCTGATAGGAGTTGCTGGTGTTTATTTCGAATGTCAGTCCTGAGCCAGAAGCCAGGCTCCAATCACATGCACAGGGATTCATATGGGCGGTTTGCAGCTGATAATAAGAGTGGTGATAATACCAGCTTGGGTTGGAATGATTATATGAAGATGGCAGATTTTACGGGGCCTGATTCAGGGTTCCTGGTGGATGACACTGCGGTTTTTAGTACATCATTTCATGTGATCAAGGAGTTTAGTAGCTTTTCTAAAAATGGGGCTTTAACTGGGGGAAGAAGTGGATTTGGTACAAGGAAATCAGATGGCCATATGGGAAAGTTCACATGGAGGATCGAAAATTTCACCAGACTGAAGGATATATTGAAGAAGAGGAAAATTACAGGTCTTTGCATCAAGAGTAGGAGGTTTCAGATTGGTAACAGGGATTGTCGTCTCATTGTTTATCCACGAGGTGTGCAATTTTCTCATTCTGGAAATCTTTTGTTGTTATTGAGTAGTGACTGCCCACATGCTTGTGCTGTTCCAGTTATGAGTATTTATGATGTGTAAATTAAGTAGATGATCTCTTATCCTAAATTTTAAAACCCTGAAATGTGATTTCTTGTGAGTATTTTGGTGAAAATTTTACGTATACAATACAAATTGAAGGGGGCTGTTGCAGTCTACAGACTCTATGCACTTCTTGTTGTGAAATTTTGAGCTAATTCGATCCATGCATATGTTTATATTAATTTAGCAGAAGCTAATGACCTAAGGCTTACGATGTAAACACTGTTACATGGAGAGTAAATATTGGCTGGCCCTTACACTCAAGAATTTTTAAGTAGATTGAGATAATGTCAATGTTGTGATGAATAGTGAAGTCTGAATTTTTTTGTTTTCAATGCGAACAGGGCAGTCTCAGCCACCCTGCTACCTTTCAGTTTTTCTTGAAGTTACAGATTCAAGAAATACTTCCAGTGATTGGAGTTGTTTTGTTAGTCATCGGTTGTCAGTTGTGAATCAGAAGATGGAAGAGAAGTCTGTCACTAAGGAATCCCAGAACCGCTACTCCAAGGCTGCAAAGGATTGGGGCTGGCGTGAATTTGTGACGCTTACAAGTCTCTTTGATCAAGATTCTGGTTTTCTTGTCCAGGATACTGTTGTATTCTCAGCAGAAGTTCTTATATTGAAAGAGACATCAATAATGCAGGATTTTGCTGATTATGAGTCTGAGTTGAGCAGCGGTGGTTCCCTTATTGACAAGTATCAAAAAAGAAGTTCATTTACATGGAAAGTGGAGAATTTCCTGTCTTTTAAGGAAATAATGGAGACTAGAAAAATCTTCAGTAAATTCTTTCAGGCTGGTGGATGTGAACTTCGGATTGGTAGGTGTTACCCTTGCATATAGTATCTCCCACATATTGTTCAACAGAAGTAGTGATTGCCTACTTTTGCGTTCTTTGCTGAACCTATTTTTTTTTCCTCTGGTACAGGGGTTTATGAGTCTTTTGACACCATATGTATTTACTTAGAGAGTGACCAAGCTGTTGGAAGTGATCCAGATAAAAACTTTTGGGTGAGATATAGGATGGCTGTCGTGAATCAGAAGAATCCAGCCAAGACAGTGTGGAAAGAATCATCTATCTGTACAAAGACTTGGAATAATTCTGTTTTACAATTCATGAAGGTGTCTGATTTATTGGAAGCAGATGCAGGGTTTCTTGTCCGTGACACTGTTGTTTTCATGTGCGAAATTTTGGATTGCTGCCCTTGGTTTGAGTTTTCAGACCTAGAGGTAAATATTTATGGGATTGCTCTGTCTATATGTTACCTAATGCCTGGCGTAATTTATAGAGGCCTGGTGTTCTCTCTCTGCGTCTCTCCTCAAGTTTCTGCCCTCCCATGTGTCTGTAAGATGAATCCCTCTTGTCTTTTGACATAAAAACAAGATTGCTTATATTTTTCATGGCTATTCGTCTAACGCTGCACTCTTGTGCCTCTTATGTATCACTAGTTTGAAAATGTAAGAACTGGTTCATCATCGATCATATAATGGTATGATAAAATTGGAACAATCATGTATGAAAATAGGACCTCTTCCTTGAAACTTTTAAATCATATTTTACTGATAGGGCGCAAGCAGAAACTCTTAACTTGTATAGGTATTTAACATGGTGAAATAATCACCATCCTCAAGAATCATCATTTCTTGATTGAAGCAACAGAAGAGCTTTGGAGCAAAATTATTTTCCCTCTCAATCTCGCATTGCTTTAGATTTACTTATTTGAAAATAAAAATTGTGAGCATATATGCATCTCATACTTGAGCCATATGATATGACCAAGTGGCCCGGGGAAACTAGGAAAATAACCATAAAATACCAACGAAATTCATTTATTCTTTCTATCAAAAAAAAAAAAAAAAAACTCACTTATTCTTTTCATTCAATATCATAAATTGATTCTTAGAAGATAGCAGGTCTACGTATAGGTTTCATAAACATTCAATTGAACTAGATTTTAATTCAAATAATCCTAATTTTGTGAAGGTGCCTTTTCGGAACTCCAGAGAAGACACCACGATGGAATAGGATATCCCTAGCCTTGGAAATATTTATTAAAATCCTGACAGGCTGGTAAACAAATACCAAATTACGTCAAATTCCTGATTAAAAATCCTAGTTTTATTGACATGTCAAATTGACAGAGCATTATCTCTTAATGCATTGCTAGGTCTAGGCGTAAGATATATTATTTATTAATATCTACCTTTTAGCTTCTTGCTGTTTGTAACTTCTCTAGTTTAACAGAAGTTTCATGATGAATTTTTGTCAAAAACCATTTGTATTGAATTCTCATTGCACTTATTGCATGATTGATGGTTGATTGTGCCCCTCTTTATTTACATTTTTTATTGTTTCAGGTTTTAGCTTCGGAGGATGATCAGGATGCTTTGACAACAGATCCTGATGAACTCATTGACTCTGAGGACAGTGAAGGAATAAGTGGAGATGAAGAAGATATTTTCAGAAATCTTCTTTCCCGAGCTGGGTTTCACCTGACATATGGAGATAATCCTTCACAGCCGCAGGTCACTTTAAGAGAAAAGCTTTTAATGGATGCTGGTGCAATTGCTGGGTTTTTAACTGGACTTCGAGTTTATCTCGATGATCCTGCGAAAGTGAAGCGTTTGCTTCTTCCGACCAAACTTTCTGGTAGTTGTGATGGGAAGAAGGTCACTAAGTCCGATGAGTCTAACCCCAGTTTGATGAACTTGCTGATGGGAGTTAAAGTGTTACAGCAGGCAATCATTGACTTACTTTTGGATATAATGGTGGAGTGTTGCCAACCTTCTGAAAGGGGTTCTGTTGCTGATTCTCTTGATGCATCAAAAGTTTCTGTAGATAGTAATGGAGCTGCTAGTCCTCTGGACTGTGACAGAGAAAATGGAGCAACAGAATCTGCTCAAATTCCTGTTTATGAGAGACTGGATTCTGTTGCTGATGAAAATGGTAGCACACCTGCTGTCCAAAGCTCTGATTTAAGGAGTGATGCTATTCAGCAAAAAACTTTTTCTGGACAGCCTATTAGTCCTCCAGAAACGGTTGCTTCTCATTCAGACAATGCATCCTTTCAGACAAAGGTACAAATCTTTATTCCTAAGAGGCAATTTTCAAATCATTATGCGCATATAAATGGTATTAACTATGTGATTTGGCATTTTAGACCAAATGGCCAGAGCAGTCTGAGGAGCTCTTAGGTTTGATTGTCAATTCACTAAGAACCTTGGACGGGGCTGTTCCACAAGGCTGTCCTGAGCCAAGACGACGGCCTCAATCTGCACAGAAAATCGCGCTTGTACTAGACAAGGCACCTAAGCATTTGCAACCAGACCTGGTTTCTCTTGCACCAAAATTGGTTGACCATTCTGAACATCCACTGGCAGCCTTTGCTCTTCTTGAGCGACTTCAAAAGCCTGATGCAGAGCCTGATCTGCGGATACCTGTAAGATAGAATACGGTCTCTTTGCAGGACAACATATCGTGATCTTAATTACGTTATATTCTTTTGTTGATGGCCTTTTCATTTCATAGGTTTTTGCGGCCCTTAGTCAGCTGGACTGTGGTAGTGAAGTGTGGGAACAGGTTCTGTTCCAGTCATTTGAGCTTTTAACAGATTCAAATGGTGAACTCCTTATGGAAACCATGGATTTTTTATTCAAAGCAGCATTTCAGTGTCAGCATCTCCCTGAAGCAGTAAGATTGATGATAGCTGGAAACTTCACTGTGTTCTTTAATTTCGTCTTTTTTCAGGATGTTTTATGAAGTATTTCTAACCTTAGTATTTTTAACATTTATGTAGGTTAGATCTGTTCGTGTCAGGCTAAAGATATTAGGTTTTGAAGTTTCACCTCATGTCCTTGACTTTTTGAGTAAGACTATAAATAGTTGGGGGGATGTTGCTGAAACCATACTGAGGGACATTGATTGCGATGATGATTATGGTGATAGCTGCTCAGGGATGCCCTGTGGGCATTTCTTATTCAATGAACATGGAACTGCTCCCACTGGATTGCATGTGGTTGATGAGCGGGCTTTCCAAGCTAATCGTCATTTTTCTGATATATATATGCTAATTGAGATGTTGTCTATACCTTGCCTTGCTGTTGAAGCTTCTCAAACATTTGAGAGAGCTGTAGCTCGGGGTGCAATTGGTGCTCAGTCTGTAGCCTTGGTTTTGGAAAGGCGCCTCTCCCAGAGACTGAATAACAGCGCTAGATGTGGAGCTGAGAATTTTAAACATTCAGATTCTGTAGCAGATGGAGATGGTAATGAGCAGTTGGGAGTTCAAAGGGATGATTTTGCTTCAGTCCTTAGTCTTGCTGAAACATTGGCCCTATCTAGCGATCCATGTGTGAAAGAATTTGTGAAATTGCTGTACACAATATTGTTTAGATGGCATGCCAATGAATCTCATCGAGGAAGGATGCTGAAGAGGCTTGTTGACCGTGCTACCAGCCCCACAGATAGTGGTCATGAAGTAGATTTTGATCTGGATATCTTGGTTACTTTGGTCTGTGAGGAGCAGGAAATTACAAGACCTGTATTGAGCATGATGCGCGAAGTTGCTGAACTCGCAAATGTTGATCGTGCTGCTCTATGGCACCAGTTATGTGCTAGTGAAGATGAAATTATTCGCATTCGTGGAGAAGGAAAAGCCGAGATTTCCAATTTGGCTGGGGAAAAAGCTAATGTGTCGCAAAAGCTGAGTGAGAGTGAGGCTATCATCAATCGTCTCAAGGTATTCTATGTCACAGTTAATAGTGCGCTGGAATTATCTCATGTTAATTATGCACTGCAAATTAATGTATGATGTCCTTCTTGAATTGACAGTCTGAAATGAGGGCTGAGATGGATAGGTTCAATCGGCAAAAGAAGGAGCTATCGGAACAATTACAAGAAACTGAGAGTCAGCTTGAGTGGCTTCGCTCAGAGCGAGATGATCAAATGGGAAAGCTCTCTGCAGAGAAGAAGGCTCTTCAGGACCGTCTCTATGATGCAGAAACACAACTTTCACAATTGAAGTCCCGGAAACGTGATGAATTGAAGGTATTATAGTGTAAATCTTTAAAATTTACTATCTGATTAAGAAGACACGAGTTATGATGTTAAATATTGCCAAAAGTTGTTTTATTGAGCAACATTAATCGTCTTTGCTAGTTTCACGAATTTTTATATGGACTAAGAAGTGTTATGGCGTGTAATAATGTCTAGCAAATTTATGATGTGACTGATTATGAAAGGAAATTAAAAAAAAAATTGACTGGCATATGTTCATGTATTGAAATCTTCCGACATATGATAGTTATTGGTACTCATTTCTTTGGAAACTTAAGCTTTTGGACTTATTTTAGTATCTTTGGCCCAAAAAAAAAAAGAAAAGAAAGATTAGTTTTAGGATCGGATTAGCTACATGTATCCTTGCTTTATTTTATTACGAGTATTCTTCTATGCTCCCTTTCCCTTCTCTTTAACTCTTATGCGAGCGAACTTATATCAGTGTTTTTTTTTTTTTAACTCTTGAGTGCTTTTTTTGTGCAAATACTAATTACTTATTTAAGCAATGATGGGGTAAAGTAGTGTATCCTGTATTTTCTTCTCATTCGTCATCAAGCTTTATGGTTCTTGCCCTTCTTGTTCTTCTTTTTTTCATCGATGCTGATTGATCTGGAGCATCAATGAGCTCCTTAAAGGAAGAATAGTTCAGCTAATATTTTATGTATAATTCTCCAGCATTAATTACTAGTTTCCTGTGGTTATTTTCTATGGAGTTAAGTCTGGAATTTATATTAATATTATTCACAGAAAGTATTGAAGGAGAAAAATGCACTTGCTGAGAGATTGAAGACTGCTGAATCTGCAAGGAAGAGATTTGATGAAGAACTGAAAAGATATGCGACAGAGAATGTGACCCGGGAAGAAGTCCGGAAGTCACTTGAGGATGAAATTCGCAGATTGACACAAACAGTTGGACAAACTGAGGAAAAGAGGAGAGAGAAGGAGGAGCAGGTTGCAAGGTGTGAAGCATACATTGATGGCATGGAATCTAAATTGCAGGCCTGTCAGGTTTGTTTTAAGATAAAACTTTATGCTTTCATATTTATTGTTTGAATAATTTGATTTGACTTTATTATGTTAATAATGTTACCTTGATATTGAGTATACATCAGACTCATTAAAGATCAATTTTAATGCTCTCTTTATTAAAATGTTCTTTTTTCTTTTTTTTTTGCGGGGGGGGGGGGGGTGTTGTTGCTCAATTGGCTATAATTGATATTTATTTCACGAGGTTTACCCATGTATTCTTTTTAGTGTTAGGTGGATCATACGCGAACAAAAAGTTGCGTCAGTTCAAAATTAGCTTAAAATTAGTAATTTATTGGGTGGCTTAGAACAAAGCAGCAGCGTGCTATTTCCCTGACTAGTAGCTTTCAATTTGTCCTGGTGCAATTCTTTAGAAGACGTTTCAGCTTTGAAATCCTCATCAATTTTATCCCAGCGGGGAAATTATAGCTCTGGCTCTTTTTGTTACACTCCTGAGGGGAGTATGCTTGGCTTAATGCCCCTGCTTTTCTTTTTGCAGCAATATATTCACACGCTGGAGGCTTCACTACAGGAGGAAATGTCACGACACGCCCCTCTATATGGCGCTGGTCTGGAGGCACTGTCGATGAAAGAGCTAGAAACGCTATCACGGATTCATGAAGAAGGGTTGAGGCAGATCCATGCCCTTCAACATCGCAAGGGGAGCCCTGCTGGCAGTCCTCTTATGAGTCCCCATGGTCTCCCACATGGCCATGGATTATATCCTTCTGCACCTCCCCCACTGGCTGTAGGACTCCCACCTTCACTCATTCCCAATGGGGGAGGCAGCCACAGCAATGGGCATGCGAATGGCGCAGTGGGACCGTGGTTTAACCACACTTGAAATTATTGGGTCATATAGGCTTCTTCTGAGGATATGACATCTCAATCTCAAGGGATGTCGTTCACTTTGACCGGTTATTTCTTTGGCATATCGGCTGGTAGATCTGTTGGAGCCAGGATGCTGTGTAAAGGGAATAAACAAAAGATAGAAAATGTGAGCGGAGTCCAATTGAACTAACAGTTGCAAATGCCATATCCGTCAGCATCTTACTTTTTTTCAGAGAGAGAAAAAAAAAAAAACAGAGAAAGAATTATAGGGTTTTGTTTTTTCGGCCCTTTTTTTGAGCCTCAGGTCAATCGCTGCTCTCTAGTTTTTTTTCCTCAAGTGGTGGGGATCCTCAATTGAGGACTCAAATCTTGGCTGGGATTCTTCCCCAAGAAGGAAAATCTTATTTTCATTGAGAAGAGTAGAAAAGAAAATCTTGCTTCCATCAGATTTGGAATACCAGAAGAAGAATTAATTTGCAAGTTATTAAGGTTTTTTATCAGATTTTTATAATTTTATCTAATTTTTAGTTTGGGGCATGATTAAAAATAGATGAAATTAGGGTATGTTACAAACAATTAATGACACCTGAGTAAAAATTAGGTGGAATTAAAAAGATTTGCAAAGTAACCTTTTTATGATCTGGTTCAGACTAACGTAAATTACCCTCTATTGTAATAATTTCTGCCGACCTGTCAACAATTTTGTGGATGAATCTAGCCGAATTGTTAACCCCTTTTTCTAGACTCACTGTGCGAGCTAGGATTGCAAACTTAATGCCTATGATTTAATACTAATTCACCCGGACATTTTGGATAATTACATATCATGACAAAATCATGGGATCAACACGTTTCTTGAAATAATATTTGCGTGTTTTCTTTTGGCCCCATTGACCATAAATAATATAGCGTGTTTGAAAGTTGTAATAACCTGCTACTGATAGGCGGTATCTTTCCAGAAAAATTATCCCACTGCTGGAAGAAGCCTCCATTCTCATCTGTTATCAACACTTTCCCAAAGCAAAAGAAAAGGCTTCCCATGTAAGGGAAAGAAATCAGAAAGCCCAACGTGATTTGGATTCGAAGTGCTCAACGGTACGTTCACACTAAGAAGAAACTATAACACAAGAAGTCTCGTAATTTATGCAATATCTTCTGTCTTTAATATAAGAACTTGTTTAAATTTTATTTTGATCCTAAATATAAGATTCTAATTTACTTTGTCTCTCATCTTTATCCATTTTTTTCAAAATAGTACTTAGAATAATAGTAGTTTTAGATAATATACTTGATTAACAAAGATATTTTAGAAAAAAAATAATACCTATTTATTACAAATAACTAATTTAATTAATTTTTTTAATCTATTCAAATTAATTCACTAACTCTTACGTTAAGGACCGGAAGTAGTACTATTCATTATTCAAATTAATTGGACACTACAGAATGAAATTAATAAGCCGGCAAAAAGAGAATGAAATTTACATCTTAAATAGATTTTGTCGTTTAGTTTTATACCAGAAATAAAAATTAATAACTTATTTTGTTCTAACTAATTTAATAGTTAGTAAAATTTATATAAAATTAACGTGCATCAGCCTGATACTTTGGACATATTAACAGTAGAGATGGATATACATGGAGAAATTGTGGGAAGAAGAAGGAATTAACTACAAAACGTGGTGGTGGAATATAATGATGATGCATGTCTCATTTGACTTTGCATACGTGTCCGTTTCTTGCCGTTCCCAACTTGGTCTCAAATTTTCTTCGATCCATTCTCTTCCACATATTTGGGTCACTTGATTTAACCTAATCATGGTGATCATCATCTTCTATTTCTCCCTCCTTTGTTATTAATATACATGACAGACTGCAATGGTTGGCGTTGTTCTTGGTACACGACCTTTCTGTTTCGAGAGAGAGAGAACTCACATTTTGATTCTTCTCTCTCATCTCATCCAGCTCGATCCACATTTTTCTTTTTTGGCATTGCTGGATTGGTTATTATAAGCTGGGCTTCTCAAGCCCCACCCCCTCACGTAAGCTCATTCCCAGTTTTTGAGTCTTCAATTTATCACATCCTCATGCATTAACTTCTTCTCTTTCTTCTTTGTAATGTTCACATTCCTTTCGAAATCCACGCAGTTCATTGATCCTTTCATCCTTTCGTCACCATCCTTACCATCTTCTTCGTTTATCGAAAACCTAGTTTATTTATTTATAGCAATAGCCTAATGCTTTCTCTACATATTTTTAACGCAATGGCATACCCCTGTTAATCTAATGCATTATGCTGCATCTGGAACAGAATTGAAGCCGAGGGAGAAACAAGCGTATTTGCAATTTTATGGCGGAAAAAAGAGCTTGTACATTTTGACATGGCTGAGAATCTCTCTAAACAATGAAGTATATTTATATATTGATGACTTCTTGCTCATATATATTGCATCAGAATCAGAAAGATTATGAGATAACATCTTTTTTCATGACTTTCATAAACCCGTAGATCAATCTATATATTCCTCTTATATTCTTTTCTTCTCCGCAAAATGCGTCCAGCCACCAAACTAGAAATTTAAAGTACTCCATATAATCTCTGTCTGCATTAGAAGAAGAGAGCGACTGTTTAACACATGCATGCTGTTTCGTATCTAATTGAATTGCAGCATGAAGAAAGTTTGTTGGCCTTACTTTGATCCTGAGTTTGATACTCTCCTAGAAAGGATAAATGGTCCCACGTAAGTGTTTCCTCTTTTTCAACCCTTCAAATTTCAATCTTCTGTCTTAGCTCCAAAAACAGATAATTAAATCAGACGTACATTTGTTTCTCTGCCTGTACCTTGCAGTTGTAGAGTCACCATCGACAATGAAAACATAGAGGATTGTACCGTAGTAAAGGTAAGGAGAAGATCATAGTGGAAAATGCAGCAGTAAATGATATTTTATTGAGTCCCTGGTTCGGCATTTGATTAAACAATGGTTAATGATGTGTGTAGGTGGATAGCGTAAACAAGCAGGGTCTCCTCCTAGAAGTGGTGCAAGTTTTAACGGACATGAACCTTCAAATCTGCAAGAGCTATATTTCATCTGATGCTGACTGGTTCATGGATGGTATACTACTTTCTTAATTATCCCTTGCTAATAGAGTTTCATGAATAATGTCTCCACTTCTAAATTCTAATTTGCAGTTCATGGAAAAATTTGCAGTGTTTCATGTTAGAGATGAACATGGCAACAAGCTAACGGACCAGAAAGTGATTAATGATATCCAGCAGGTACTGCAATTCCTTTAAGCATGTATTTGACAATATATAATTTTTTTTGGCATGCTATATGTATATGCATGTGTGTGAAGTGAAAGTATATATGGATCAAACAGGCCATAGGAAGATCAAGGGGATCTCCACATTCGATAAAGGCCTATTCCAATAAGGTTTTCCCTAATTACTTTCATCCAAACGAGCACACCGCCATCGAAATGACCGGTGCCGACCACCCCGGTCTATTTTCGGAGATCTCTGCCGCCCTGGCCGACCTCCATTGCAACATCGTCGAGGCTCATGCTTGGACCCACAACGCCAGATTAGCCTGCGTCGCCTACATCTCCGATCAATCCACACATTCCCCGATCGAAGACCCTCGGCGCCTCGCTTACATCGAAGATCGCCTCGCCACTGTCCTTCGCGCCACCACCAACCCTAATAGCTCGTGCGCCAACCAGCAAGAGGTGAAGACGGCGGAATTCCGTGGCGGAGAAGGCACCATGACCACCGTGGAAAGGAGGTTGCACCAACTCATGCTTTCCGTTAGGGATTTCGAAACGCCGTTAGGTCTGACGACGACAACGACGGCAGCAATGCCGAGTGATGGGGAAGAGGTGAGAAGAAAAAGAATGGTGAGAATTGAAAGCTGCAAGCAAAAAGGATATTCGATAGTGAGCATAGAGTGCAAGGATCGACCCAGGCTCATGTTCGACACTGTCTGCACTCTCACCGACATGCAGTACGTCATCTTCCATGCTTCTATCAGTTCCCACAAAGGCTATGCCTTTCAGGTATATGAAAACAACTCTCATATATATATATATATATAAACACACATTTGCTTCTGATGCATGCATGTTCATATATGATTCTATACGTACTCTCAAATATAATACAGGAGTATTTCATTCGGCATATAGATGGGTATGCTTTGAGTACAGAAAGCGAGAAGGAAAGAGTGGCCAAATGCTTAGAGGCAGCAATAGAACGCCGTGTTTGTGAGGTTAGAGAATTGCTGATCAGCCACCGTTATTCTCAGTTTGGTTGAAGACTAAACTAATTAACTTCATTCATTTGTGTGTTGGTGGACGTGAAAATTAGGGAGTTCGGGTGGAGTTGTGTGCAGAGAACAGAGTTGGGATGCTATCGGACATAACGAGGATGCTGAGAGAGAACGGGTTAGCTGTGGTTCGAGCAGACGTAGAGACGCATGGAGAGAAGTCTGTGAATGCTTTCTATGTGAGAGACGTATCTGGAAATTATGAGGTTGATATTGACTATTTTGTTCAGTCTGTGAGGAGGGAGATGGGTCCTACGGTGCTTCACATAAACAATAATATTCGTCATGCTGCTTCCAATAGTGACGACGACACCCCTCTCTCCTTTGGACATAAGCTCAGATCTCACATTGAACGTCTCTCTCATGCCTTGTTCATCTTATCAACTCATCACTAGCCAGCAGCTAAGATCTTTCCCATCTTCTTTGCTTCGATTCCTCCATCAAAACCCTCTCTGCCTTGTATTCCTCTGTAAATAATAGTAGCCAGTTTCTATACCTTAATTTCTGTCTCTGGCATCAAAACGTCACTTTGTCAGAAACCCTAAAATTGTCCCATTACATCATCAAAACGTGTATATTTATCCAATTTGTGGGCGAGTGCTCACTCTTATGCTCGAAAGCACGATCAAACATATATTGGACTTTAAAAAAAGGGCACGTTAAGTAATTAGTTGCTGTGATCTATCGCCCTAAGCCAAAGTTTCCTTCTTATGGTCAAATTCTGTAAACTTTTTAATCAGGCATACATACCTGATTAGGTTATGCAATTTCCATGGGTTAGCATGGAAAGGAAAGTGTAGATAAATTGTGATTGATTCAGGTTTGACAAATTCGATGTACATATTGTATGTATAATATATAGATATAATTATATGCATATAATTCTTAATTCTCTGTTTTTCTTTGTTTTCTGACCGCCATATTCTGAACCCGGGTAGCTTAGCACAAATAAGCGCACAAGTCAGCTGGTAATTCCACTCCCTCCCTCTCTCTCTATATACTACCTTCGGTTGTTAATATAACACCTAGTTAGACTTTTATTTTGATTCTAAATATAAAGACCCAAATCTATCTTGTTTCTCATATTTATATATTTTTTCCCAAGATAGTCTTTCTAATAATGGTAGTTTTAGCCAATAAACTTGATTAATGAGGATATCTTAGGAA